TGTTGGAACCGCTCAGTGCTACCGTGTCACCTAGCTTGCCACTGAAAAAAGAACGTTTTGCTTGCCGAGCCGAAAACTTGAAACGATACAAGTGTGAACATGTTTCAAAGAGCTTTACACGATGAGGTTTGAGTTGAATTATATAAAGAGACAACTTACAAATTATACACAATAATCTTGATAAACCGTGAGAGAAACCTTGAGAGTTTGTAAATTTCCCCTTGGTTTAGACCTTGCCAAATGGACCCCCCCAAGTCTGGGAAAATCGCATTATTTCCTGTGTTTTGGCGCCAATTTTTGGGACTTGGTGGGGTCCATTTTGGGGGGGCCCACCCACGGGAAATTTGGTATTGAGAGTCATGTCACAATTCAAAACCATGAGAGAGCATGCTCAGAGGGATGATTTTTTTCAACACTAACCTTGAGAGAGAGAGAGAGAGGGGCTCAGAGGGATGATTTTTTTTTCAACACTAACCTTGAGAGAGAGAGAGAGAGAGGGGCTCAGAGGGATGATTTTTTTCAACACTAACCTTGAGAGAGAGAGAGAGAGGGGCTGAGCCGGCTTCAAGACGCGAACCAAGCCTGTGGTCACAGCAAAAAGGTGAGGCGCGTTCTGACATGTGAGCGTAGTTTAGCTTGAAAAGAATCTAGGATATGAAGTGATTCCCAAAAACTGTTTCAAACTCAATGGGGGTATGGAAATTGTAAAACAGAACAATGGTGCATTCATGTGAGCATGTCGAATTTGAAAGAGGTTTTCTAGCTTTCAACTAAGAAGCATTGCCATCTTCTGTAGTTGTCCATGTGAAGCTTGTACATGTGTATATTCCATATACTTGCGTTTCAAGGACACTATCATTGGAAGACAATGGAAAACGATGAAAACACACATGCAGTCCCACCATTATTTTCACAAAGCCGAATGTCAGACCATGTGAGTTTAATCTTTTCATGATCAGTCTATTTGACAAACACTGCGCAGATTTCACCTTCACTGTCTGAGAGAGTTCAAGTTACACATCCATGAACTCCAGAACCGCTTCTAAGACCTTTATGATCAACATGTTTGAAAAGTCATGCAAGTTTGGCAATTTCAAGTATCCCTGAGCCCCAGCACTGCTTTCCAACCAGTTCCAAACATTTGGACTGCTTTAATGTTTAAACCTTCTCCCACGAAATCCCTGTGCCACTTTCGAAAGCCATGCAAGATGAGAAGCCGCCCCATAGAGTGTTCGTCAAGCACCTCTACATGTCGACCACAGAGCACGACATGGTGGAGCAGATGAACTATCTGAATGCTACGGAGGGATTATACAATGTGTACCTGGTGAAGCGTGGGCAATATGATGGAAACAAAAGCATCAACGCCTTCCTGAGCTACCAGACAGAGGACCAATGCCGGGCAGCGATAGAAATCCTGAATGGATCCTACCTGAATGGACTGGCAAAGTACCCCTTAGAAGTGGACTTTGCAGTTCCTCGCAAGACTGGCAGGAGGTACTATGCTCAGCCCCCGGAGCAGCTGGAGCACACAGCAGAGTTTGCAGAGCAGCACCACCCGCAGTCCCAGGACGATGAGCAGAACCAGATGGACAACCAGGAGCCTGATCTACGACAACCTCAAACACCACCAAAGGCTTCAGAGAAGACACCGCCTGTGGCTCCTGCGATGCCACCCATGCATCACTTACCACCTCGACTGCCTCTGCCGCCTTTGCCGCCTGTGCCGCCTGTGCCGCCCTTTGCACCTCCCAGGTATCCTCTGATGGTGCCACATGGGTACCCGGTGCCACCGCCAATGCTGCCAATGGGATACATGTTCCCACCACCACCTCCTGTTTGGGTGCCGCCACCATGGGCCATCCCCGAAGACTGGAGTGGAAGTGCGAAAAGCAAAGCAATGGGAAGCAAGGTCCCTAAAGCTGAACCTGAAGGTGACAGCGGCGAAGGGGATGAGGAGTTACAGACCTGGTTACAGGACAACCTGAAGGACAAAGTGTGGGACGATGGGTATGGGTCAGTGGAGGCTGCAGAGTCCTACATGCTGGAGAAGACCATCAAGGACAAGAAGCAGAAGGCCGACAAGACAAAGGACAAAAAAAAGGATGCCAAAGAGAAATCAGAAAAAAAGGCGGCAAAGGACAAGGACAAGGACAAAGATCAGAAGAAGAAGGCGAGCAGATCGAGGAGCCGATCAAAAACCAAAAAGGAGAAAAAAACCAAATGAATTTGCTGTGACAGGTGGCTAAGCTACTGGAATTGGCCCAACCCGGAATCAAACAGCCGAGCCGACTTGAGCTTTGGGAGGGAAAAAAAACGAGTGCGGGGGTCTTTGGGATAGGAGGTGGAAGACATTGCTGCTTGAGTCTTTGATGTCTATAGCTGTACTGAAAATAAGTACCAAAAAACGCCCTTTTTGGTAGTTATTTGTTGTTTCACCAAGAACAATGTTTTTCAGATATTTCTGTGGGGTTCAAATCATGTGCACATGTCAGTTCATGCAGTCAGCTTGCCAAGTGGTATTGTAGAAAAGCTATCATCAAACATTACAAGTGGATGGAATTCAGTTTTCATGGAAACATGTTTAAACTGGGTAAAATGTTCTTGAGGCGTTTCAGCCAAATACGTGACACAAACAAACGGTTTGAGAAACATACTTTGCAACTCAATGAGTCAGGTCACAATACCTGCAGACATGAGCTGAGTGTGGCCGCTGACTGTGATCGTTTGAATTTTGGCTCCAGTACATGGCTGCAAGACTGGGAGGGTTTGAGAGTTTCAACATGTGATCAACATTTGCATTGAAGAAAAGATATCATCAAAAATGGCAAGTGGATGGACTTCATTTTTCATGGCGATATTTTTGAAACTGAGTATCATTTGTTTTGAAACCTTTCAGCCAAACATGTGACAGTATAGAGCTTGAACCTTGAGGGACCCTGAGAGCTGTGAGAGCGCATGGCGAACCTTGAGGGACTGTGTGCATGTTAGAGACCGTGAGAGTAGAGAGAACACATGTTGAACCTTGAGGGACTGTGTGCATGTGAGGGACCGTGAGAGTGGAGAGAACACATGTTGAACCTTGAGGGACTGTGTGCATGTGAGGGACCGTGAGAGTGGAGAGAACACATGTTGAACCTTGAGAGACCCTGAGTTGAGAACTTGAACTCACCCACAACCAACCTTTCAACCCCAAGAGTTATTCCATGGAAAAACATTGCAGTGGATTAGAAGATATTAGAGATAATGTGTTTAGGTACTCAAGAGTAGCTCACAACTTCAAACTATGTCAATCCTCTCAGAGTTTCACTCAATGTCGCTCCTCTCAAAGTCTCTCACGGTTGATAGTTGCACGGTTGCAAGGTTAGCAATGTACTTGATCATGATCACTAGACTTGTCTAGCGTTTGAGAGCTTGAAAATTCATGATCAAGCATGCGGAAAACTATTGTTTTGATATTGAAGCCTACTGAGTGCTCAAAGGATTTACACGACCCCGGATTTCAAACTCCCGTGGATCCCATGTCTGAGAAGGCAATGCTGTGTGCTGCTGAGTCCCAAGAGCCAACCCAGGGTCAAGCAACCAATGTGATTGGACCTGATGTTGATGCTGAAACCATTTGCTTGGGTGATAGCCCACCAGCTCATGTGAATTCCCCTGGTGACCTGGTGCCCGCTACTGAAACCTTGGAGCCAGCCGATTCCCAGCCAATCTCTTTTGGAACGCCCCCTGAACTCTTTGTTGCTGAGAATGAAACCCAACAGCCCAATGATACCTATGAAACCATGTCAAACCCTGATGAACTTCACGCTTTGAATGCTGATACGTTTGTCCAGGGTGAGATCCCAAAGGATGAGCTGTGTGGGTCTCAGAATCCAGCAGTGCCAGCCGAGTCTGAGCCCATGGATTCCCAGCCAATTGGTTCTGACCCGCCAGATTCCCCAGCAGCTTCTCCACCATGTCCTGATGAAGATTGTGAAAGTGAAGAACATGCTTCGGATGATGAGATGCCTGGTTTCCTCACCATGGATGGAAGCGGATATTGGACTCAGCATGGTCAGGTCAGCGGCTACTCCTTGCAGCTGATGGAGGTTGTCCAGCAATTGCTCGACAACCATGATGCTTCTGGATCTTCTCAGCCAGCACCACCTCAGAACCCAGGAAGCCGTGCAACGCGTCGCGCAGCTCGCTTTGAACGCCAGCGCAAGGTCAACAAGAAGAAGGGCAACTGAGGTTCAGTAGTTGCTAGGGATAAGTCTTCAAAGTACTGAAGCACTTTTGTTATCAGTTTTTCGTATGTAGAGTTGGCTAGCCCTAGAGCTCCATAGACCGTGAAGAAGTAGGAGTATTTGGACCCAACTTTGCTTGCTCAGCTTAGATCTCAACGAGATGCGACAAAAACAAAGCTCCACTGTCAGCTGCAAGTCTTGAGTTTCACACTGGAATGAATGCAGTGAAGAATCAAACTTTATTCACAAAGATGCACAAAAATTCTGGTTTGAAGTAGAAACCATGAGGGACTTTGAGAGGAGAGACAGCTGTTCTGTGAGAATGGGGTCGTAGTTTGGTAGAAAGTAGGTCATACTTTATAGTCGTAGTTTGGTCATACTTTCCGGAGGTGTCATACTTTGAAATCACAAAACATTGTAAATACCATGTGTTTTGATGGGCAACTATCAAACTACTATCAAAGTACTATCAAACTACTACCAAAGTACGACCAAAGTACGAGTAGAAACTACGACGTAGTTTCTACCAAACTATGACCCCATCTTGAAATCACAGTTCAAATTACACTGAAATTAACATATTTTTTTCCAAGTGTAAATGAAATTCTGAATTGGTTTTGATGAATTTGACAAGAAAGTGGATACTTTGCATGTGACAAAGTCATGGTCTTTGTTGTGAATTGCTGCAAAGTGTTTGCTGCCAATATACTTGTTCGTTCAGATTTTCAGCATTACATCGGGCCTTGGAACTAGAACTTGTGTTCCTTAGCAATGCCTGTTTTGAAGCGGCCGGCTTCAGCGAGTGGACTTCCTTCTATGAAGAAGCCTGCTTCTCATAGCTCCATCAAGGACGTGGTCAGTGAACTCAAGGATAGTCAGAAGCATGATGAGGACAAGGAAGGGTCTGAAGAAGTAGCGCGTGACAAGCAGAAAGCGCAAAAGTTTCACAAAATGCTGAACCAGGGATCACTACCGGAGCACATCGTGCACATGTACAACATCGAAGCCAAGAAAAGTAAAGATGGAGCTCGAGCCTTTCAGACCCGTTTGATCAATTCCCTGTTTCAGAAGAACAAGGACGGCACCTTCAGTGTACAAACTGAGAAGCATGAGTTTCAGGAGTACAGGAAAATTTACCACCAGTCTATTGCAAAGGACAAGACGGAGGCATTACCCCGTACCATCATGCTTGCATCTCACTTCGGTGGGAATGAGGCCTTAATGAAGAAAGCCCTGGACAATGGTGAGTTGGTGTCTAAGGTTGACAAGCAGTCCAACGTTGAATACCTCCAGTTCAGGAAGCTCACCAATGCCGAGGTGCGTGGCAATGAAGAAGGAGAACACGTGGCTGGGTCCAAGAAGCTCTCCAGAGAGCAAGCTCATTCCTTGGCCAGTGTCATGGCCAAGCTCAAGTGGAAGTTTGAACTGAGCAAGGCTGGAGGTGTGAACATGTTAAATTGAGAAATCAGCAGGTCATTTTTTCCAGTGCCCCATAAAAAAGGCAAACGTTTTTCCAAACCTATTGAAAACAAACGCTCCCGAAATGGAAGCAAACCCAAGGCTTTTGGTATGCTTTACAGCAAAGTCTTCACATCCTTAGAGCGTGTTTTCTTGATCCCCTTCAACCCCAAGAAATGGATACCTTGTTTGACTCATTAAATTTCATCCCATGGAACCTCAGTGAACAAGGCCAACACTAGGAAATGCCCACTTCTCTTTAATCAGTTGCCTGAAAGTTTCCCTCAAATGATCTCTCTCTCTCTCTCTCTCAAAGCATCTCTCAAGGTTTCGCTGCCAGTTCTCTCACAGGTGCAGGATTGAAGAATTCACTTTTGTGCTGTTGCTTGCTTAGCCAGACTCCTCTCACACTCTCTCAGGGATACAGGTTCGACCTGAAGTCTAGACTAGACATATGTATGACCTCTTAAGTCTACCACAAACAAAGGTTCAACATCCATGAAATACCATTGTCGCCTGTCTCAGCCCTCTCTCGGATAAAGATTTTCAACAAGTTTCTCAACTGAAAGTTTGCAAAGAAGTAGTAGTTACTGCATCATTTTGCCAATTTTAATGTCTGATTCTGCACTGCTTGCCGATGGGACTTGGAGGCTGATGAAAAGCAGTTGGAGGACGCAAATGAAATTCCCGACAAGGTGAAGAAGCTTGCTGCCAAGGCTAAGGATGCATGCGAACGCTTGCTCAAGGATGGATCAAAGTTGGTGGGCCAGCCTGAAACCCAAAAATTGATCAAAGATGGCTACAAGACCCTGTCCACTCACATCAACAATTTGAACACCCTCTTGATGTTCAATGAGTTGCCTGACAAAGCCACGATCAACACCCACAGCTTGGAGAATTTCATTGGCACCATCGCCCAGGACGTGGATCAGTACCATGGTGAGGTTCAAGCAGCCAAAGCTAGGGCCAAGGCAAAGTCCTAAATGTTAGATTAGGCACTTCTTCAATATGATGCTCCACCCCCGGTTAGGATAGTTTTGGGCTCTTAGGCAATTTCTATGGAAAACGCATGAGCTTCTTTTTTCCAAACATAGACGGGTGCGAAGCACTGTTGTCAGCGAGGCAACCTGAACGCAAAACAAGTTCAAACTCGAAGGATTCGACGAAAAAATTGAATCTTGTTCTGTGCTGGTCCTGGTCGTGTGAAACCATGGTTTGATGGATATGTACGAAAAGAATGAACTGATTCTGCAAAAAGATTTTATCAAAATGAACAATGCAATACACCAATGAGACTTTTCATACACACACACACTTGTCGTTTTCTGTTCTCTTAATTGAATTTCTTCCTACTCTTGACTCTTGAGACATTGGAGGGCTTTGAGAAACCTTGAATGACTTTGAGAGACTTAGATATGGAGTTTCCTTGGCACAAAACCTTGAGAGAGGAGGAAGCATCAGAGAGAGGACCTTGACAAAGAAAACCTTGAGAGAGAGGGTCTTGAGAGAGAGAGATGGTATAGCAGGTGAAGGGCCAACAAGAGCTATAAAAACACACCCTGAGCTGTGAGCGCAGCTTGAAAAAATTTGACAGTGAGCAGCCAAGACTGAGCCAAACATCCTTACACATGGTAACTTTACATATTTGGGCAGTTTATATTATATTGTGACCCCTGTTGCAGTGACTCAGAACAAGAACATTGTCAAGCATCAAATTCAATCTTTGTCTTGATACATCACATGCAAAATGCCTGCTTATATACTGACTCAAATTACAGCTTCGTTTTGGATCAGAGCTATTGATGCGGCTGGTTTTTGGAGCAGGAAAATTGTGGGAAGTGAGCCAGCCCAAGCAAGGATCCAATGTTGCAACCACCAAGAGTTTCAAAACGTTTTGTTTTTTGTAGACCATTGACCTATTTTGATAAAGAAAGAAACATAGATCAATTTATGTTTTCTAGAAACTGATTGAAAGAATTGAGAAGATTTCGGCTTAAACTTGCCTCCTGTTTGCAGATTTTTTTTCAAAAATACCCATCCATTGCTACATGGAATCCTCGCGGCCGAAGAAACGACCCCGGGGTGGCCTACGACAGAGATTGAAGAGGTCCAATGAAGGTATAGAAGAGAACAATGACGTGACCTCTGCCTTAGCCTTGCTACTTCTGAGCTTGTTTGCATGGGGTTTTTTCTCACCGCAAAGAGTACAACAGATAGCTGAGATGGCTGTGAGAGACATCAAAGCTGCAGCAGAAGACCCTTCTATATTGAAAAATTTGGAAACTTTGGCCAATTTGGGGACCAAGGGAAAACATTCAAACAATATCCATGCCGAATTGATGAGCAAAGTTGAGCACGTGCCGGCCATTCCAAGACCTTTCAGCGCAAAAATACCTTTGAAAGGCTTCCCAAATTCTATGCAATATTTCCTGTTACCTCATGAGATGTTTTCTTGTATTTACCACAACTACAAAAATCTTTGGAACACTGCAATTGTACCAAGTGTCGACCGTGTGAAAAAGTTCTGGCGAAGCATGCGGCTACACCCATCTATGCAAGGCCATCCTATGAAGGCCGATGACTTTTGGGACGCCCAAACAGTCCCCCTTGCTGTCCACGGTGACGGCGTTCCAATAACAGGAATCGGAAAGGTGTGGTCGCGTGTCATGACCAACTACTCATGGTATTCTCTACTGGGCCATGGAAACACCGCTTCGATGCTTATGTGGATTTGGGGGTTCTTTGACAAGCTTAAAGTTGGCAACCAAACCGAAGGAACATTGCATGAATTTTACACCCTCCTAAAATGGAGTTTTCTTGCATTAGCTTCCGGAAAATGGCCATCTCACGACCACAGAGGTGTGAAGAAACTTGGCTCATTGACAGCAACTTTTCCTTGTGTGTTTCTGTTTCCGGGAATTTTCCCAAAGCTAAGGCAGCCCTTTTCAAAGTTTCATCAATGTCACTCCTCTCAAAGTCTCTCATGGTTGAAGGTTGAACGGTTTGAGTTTCAATTTGAAGTTGTGCATTTCATCCATCATGAAACCATATTTCCTAGGTGTAGGTTTTTGAAATCTCATGACCCCAAAGGTTTGCAGCAAATTCAAAAGAGGGCCTGAAAGCCAACACATTGCTGGCTGGTGGATGGAAAGCTGTGTTGTGGGCATTGACAGGTGACCTGGATTACTTTTGCAGCATGCTGGGAACCCCAAACTATTCCTTAACGACTGGCCCATGCATGCATTGCCAATGCAAAATGACAGGCCCAGTAACGTGGTCTGATTTTAGATCAGAAGCTGCATGGCGTACAACACGTTGGGACCCTGAAGAGTGGAGAACTTGGGAACAGAGAACAAAATGTGTGTTACTAACACTTCCTGGTGCTTCCTGCTGGACAATAGCTTATGATTGGGTTCATGTGAAGTACTTGGGCGTGGACCAATACATTTTCGGCAGCGTGCTATTCGTATTGGTGTGCATGGTCATGGAGGGGGAACAGGAAGCAAACCTTGCAGCCTGTTGGGCCTTCTTGAAAACTTTTTTTCGAAACAACAAGACGCCAACACCATTCCGCTATCTGACAAAACTTTCGATGTTCATCAGAAGTGGCGGCAAATACCCCAAACTACGTGGCAAAGCTTCAGAAATTCGCCACTTCGGAAAGGCTTTGCTGGCCTTGTGGAACCAGTTTTCCAATCAGGCACTTTTGCTGCATAGGCGTATAGCATTGATGCTAAAGCACAATGTTCACTTGGAAGACATGATCACTCATCACAAGGAAGACTTCTCCCTTCCCCCGGGTCCTGCCCAGGAATTTGAGGAAACCGCAAACGGAATGCTATTGCTTTTGACTCAGATTGCAGACCATTTTGTTGAAGAAGGCCTGAAAGTCTTCGACATTACATCGAAAAGCCATATGCTTCAAGAATTGGCTATTTTGAGTCGATGCATCAATCCCAAAGTCATTTGGTGCTTTATGGGGGAGGACCAGATGCAACGAATGCAACAAATCGCCAAAGCTTGTGTTCGTGGAAACAAAGTTGACCAACAAACTTCAAAGCTGGCACGTCACTACAGGTTGGCCCTTCACCTACATTTTCTCGACTTAGCGCACTGAACTTGGAAAAAAACGAGTGAAATGATTTCAAAACTGATGCGCCACCGCATGCATCCACTGGTATATAGTCAGTTTGGTGGCAACTTGAGCGCTCCACGAAAAACATTGACTTGTTCTGTGCTGCTCATTGTCGTGTGAGACCATGGTTTGATGGATATGTATGAGAAGAATGAACACTTGATTCTGAGAAAAGATTGTATATAAACACAAACAATCGGACATTTTATACGCGCAGCTGTTCTCTGAACTCAACTCTTCCTACCCTTGGCTCTTGAGACACCGGAGAGATCTTGAGAAACCTTGAGTGATTGAGTGAAACACTTAGATATCGAGTTTCCTTGGCACACACCTTGAGAGAGGAGGAAACCTCAGAGAGAGAGAGAGAGGGGACCTTGACAAAGAAATCCTAGAGAGAGAGAGAGAGAGAGACAGACAGAGAGACAGAGAGAAAGGGGAAGAGGAAGAGGAAGAGGAAGAGAGAAAGAGAAAGAGAAGGACATAGAAAGAGGAAGAGAAAAAGAGAAACAGAAAGAGAAAGAGAAAGAGAGAAACAGACAGAGAAGGAGAAAAAGATCAAAACAGAAAGAGGGAAAGAAAGAAAGAGAAAGAGAGGAAGAGGAAAAGGAAGGGGGAAAGAGAAAGAGAACGAGAAAGAGAAAAAAGAAAGAGAAAGAGAGGAAGAGGAAGAGGAAGAGGGAAAGAGAAAGAGAAGGAGAAAGATAAAGAGAAAGAGGAAAAGGAGAAGAGGAAGAGAGGAAGAGAGGAAGAGAGGAAGAGAGGAAGAGAAAGAAAAAGAGCAAGAGGAAGAGAGGAAGAGAGGAAGAGAGAAAGAGAGGAAGAGAGGAAGAGAGGAAGAGAGGAAGAGAGGAAGAGAGGAAGAGAGGAAGAGAAAGAAAAAGAGCAAGAGGAAGAGAAAGAAAAAGAGAAGAGAGGAAGAGAGGAAGAGAGGAAGAGAGGAAGAGAGGAAGAGAGGAAGAGAGGAAGAGAGGAGAGAGAGGAAGAGAGGAAGAGAGGAAGAGAGGAAGAGAGGAAGAGAGAGGAAGAGAGGAAGAGAGGAAGAGAGGAAGAGAGGAAGAGAGGAAGAGAAAGAAAAAGAGCAAGAGGAAGAGAGGAAGAGAGGAAGAGAGGAAGAAAGGAAGAGAGGAAGAGAGGAAGAGAGGAAGAGAGGAAGAGAAAGACGAAGAGAAAGACGAAGAGAAAGACGAAGAGAAAGACGAAGAGAAAGACAAAGAGAAAGACAAAGAGAAAGACAACGAGAAAGACAAAGAGAAAGACAAAGAAGAGAAAGACAAAGAGAAAGACAAAGAGAAAGACAAAGAGAAAGACAAAGAGAAAGACAAAGAGAAACACAAAGAGAAAGACAAAGAGGAAGACAAAGAGTAAGACAAAGAGGAAGACAAAGAGAAAGACAAAGAGAAAGACAAAGAGGAAGACAAAGAGGAGGACAAAGAGGAAGACAAAGAGAAACACAAAGAGAAAGACAAAGAGGAAGACAAAGAGTAAGACAAAGAGGAAGACAAAGACAAAGACAAAGAGAAAGACAAAGAGGAAGACAAAGAGGAGGACAAAGAGGAAGACAAAGAGAAAGACAAAGAGGAAGACAAAGAGGAAGACAAAGAGAAAGACAAAGAGGAAGACAAAGAGAAAGAGAAAGACAAAGAGAAAGACAAAGAGAAAGAGACAGGTTGATGAAAAAAAGGCTTGTTGTGGCGACAACCAAAAGCATGGGAGAGCGTTTGTTGAGCCACTTTGAAACGCCTTGAGAGAACCCGAGGGATCACATGTCGAAATGGAATTCCAAAGATCAATAACATGCCTTTTTTCAAATCTGCTGTATAGCCTTCTTGCTATATATATGGCTATCTATAGATATAGATATATATATATTTATTTATATTTGCAAATAGCACAACAAATTATATGAAAAATCAGGGTCGTAGTTTGGTAGTCCAAGGGTCGTAGTATGGTCGTAGTTTGGTCGTAGTTTGCTTTCCGAAAAAATTAACTATAGTTTAAAAAATAGTCTAATTCCTAAGAAATAGGTTAAAAAAATAAACTATGTTTAGTCTATTTTCGAAGGTTTATTTAAGATATGAAATTAACTTTTTTTAAAACTATAAGTCCAAAAAAATAACTATTTCGATAAAAAAAATAATCTGTTTTCTCTTCTTGAAATAATATATTTTAGAAAGATGAAAATAACCTAAATCCTAGGAAATAGTTTAAAACCTACGAATTAGACTATAGTTTATTTTTAAGCTAAAACAATCTATTGGGCATCCAGAATCTACAGCGATCTAGGTGCCCCACATCGTTCACAGCAGATGCTCCCTCAGGTGCGCTGCCAGCCTAGGCAAGCAGCAAAATGCTTTGCAAGATAGGCCACATTATGATACAATAATATACAACATGTCACCTTATGATGCCTTATGACATAATGTGGGAATAAGATTGAATAAGAAGTAGTAATTAAAATGTAAGTTTGACTTTGTGGACATGGGCATCCTCTGGAAAACACCATCATTTTCAACACCTAAAGTAATCTAGCTTACATTTTTCAAGAAACACTACCACTCACCAGGCAATTCCAGGCAAAGTGCACGATGATGCGCACATATGCACAAAAAATGACATAACATATCATGAAATGACCAAAGGTGATCTCATCTATGCGACGCAAACATGTAAGCTGAAAGCAATAGGGGGGCCAGAATCCCTGCAGCCCACAACACTATCTCAAACACCCTCCCCCAAACAGCTTACTATATAGGCATTATATGGTAATATAATGTAACATCAGATCTTACATTTTCTTGCATGATCTTGCATCAACTTACATGTTTCACGCTTAAATAGGGAGCATCAAGAAACCACTGGAAACCATAAGAAACTTCAAGAAACTATATAACCACCAAATGAACTTGTCAATATTTTTTTGAATGTCGGTGAACCCATGCCAATCCTAGTTATCTACACTGATCTGGTGTCCCACGTCGTTTTCAGCAAATTCTCCCTCTCGTGCACTTCCACCCTACGCAACCACTAAAATGCTTTGCAAGATAGGCCACATTATGATACAATAATATACAACATGTCACCTTATGATGCCTTATGACATAATGTGGGAATAAGATTGAATAAGAAGTAGAAATAAAAATGTAAGTTTGACTGTGTGGACATGGGCATCCTCTGGAAAACACCATCATTTTCAACACCTAAAGTAATCTAGCTTACATTTTTCAAGAAACACTACCACTCACACCTGGCAATCCCAGGCAAACTGCACAAATGTAAGCTGAAAGCAATGGGGGGGGGGGCACAATCCATGCAGCCCACCACTATCTCAAACACCCTCCCCCAAACTGCTCACCATAAATATATATATATAATACAGGATCTTGCTTTTTCTTGCATGATCTTGCATCAACTTACATGTTTCACGCTTAAATACGGAGCATCAAGAAACCACTGAAAACCATAAGAAACTGCAAGAAACTATATATTATATAACTATCAAAGGAACTTGTCAATATTTGTGAATGTCGGTGAACCCATGCCAATCTTAGTCACCACAGTGATCTGGGTGTCCCACGTCGTTTTCAGCAAATGCTCCCTCAGGTGCAGTGCCAGCCTAGGCAGGCAGAAAAATGCTTTCCAAGATATGTCCCATTATGATTCAATATGTCACCTTATGGCATAATGTCGGAATTAGATCGAATAAAAAGTAATAAGAAAATGTAAGCTTGACTGTTTGGACATGGGAATCTTCTGCAAAACACCATCATTTCCAACACCTAAAGTAGTCTAGCTTACATTTTTCAAAAACTTCCGCCATTATGATTCAATATGTCACCCTGTGACATAATGTGGGAATAAGATGGGATAAGAAGTAATAAGAAAATGTAAGCTTGACTGTTTGGACATGGAGATCTTCTGCAAAACACCATCATTTCCAACACCTAAAGCAGTCTAGCTTACATTTTTCAAAAACCTCCGCCATTCACACCAGGCAATCCCAGGCAAACTGCACAAATGTAAGCTGAAAGCAATGGGGGGGCAGAATCCATGCAGCCCACCACTATCTCAAACACCCTCCCCCAAACTGCTCACCTTATATATATATATATAAAATATAGGATCTTGCTTTTTCTTGCATGATCTTGCATCAACTTACATCTTTCGCGCTTAAATAGGGAGCATCAAGAAACCACTGGAAACCATAAGAGACTTCAAGAAACTATATAACTATCAAAGGACCTTGTCAATATTTGTGAATGTCGGTGAGCCCATGCCAATCTTAGTCATCTACAGTGATCTGGGTGTCCCACGTCGTTTTCAGCAAATGCTCCCTCAGGTGCAATGCCAGCCTAGGCAAGCAGAAAAATGCGTTGCAAGATATGTCGCATTATGATTCAATATGTCGCCTTATGACATAATGTGGGAATAAGATGGAATAAGAAGTAATAAGAAAATGTAAGCTTGACTGTTTGGACATGGGGATCTTCTGCAAAACACCATCATTTTCAACACCTAAAGCAGTCTAGCTTACATTTTGCAAAAACACCACCATTCACCAGGCAATTCATGCCAATTCCAGGCAAAGTGCACGAAAAATACTGTATCAAAAAATGACAATATATGACATAGGGTATTATCTCAGTCATCTATAGTCATTGAGGTGCCCAACGTGGTTCTCAGCCGATGCATGCCTAGGTGCAGCGTCAGCTTAGGCAAGCAGAAAGATGCTTTGCAAAAGATGCCGTGTTGTGACATCACTTACGTAGAAATAAGCAAAATGAAACTTGTACACACCTGGACATGGAAATCTGTTGCAAACCACCATTTTTTTTATCACCTCAAGCAGTCTAGCTTACATTTTCAGAAACACCACCATGCACCACTGAAAATGATTGAAAGCTGGGTCCCAAACTTCGGCGTCCAATGCCCCCCAACAGGCGTCCTCAGAATCCGGCAGCATCCGGTACCATCTGGTAACTTGATGCGAAAGTATGCAAAAGTATACATGCCAAAATATGCCAAAATGCAGCCTACATGAAAGGACATGTTTTAAACATTACTAATTACTAAACCAGATCATGTGTCAGATTGCGGCAAGCATGCGACGAGCGCTTTGATTTTTGCACTCTCTAGCTATCTCTAGCCTTCTCTAACCCATCTCGACTCCTCACATCTAAAGTAACTTTGCCACAGCGCAGTTCTATTCTGTACACACCCTTGCTGACAGATCGAATCGAATTGATTGATACCACAAACTGGCAAATGACACTGTAGGCACTTGTTGGCCCTACAGGGATTTCACAGAAACATCTAATTGAAACCTGCCTTGATTTTTTTCATACCTTTTCATATCCTTTCATGTCAACTCTGCGTTGCGCTGCCAAACTCAAATCATCTGAATCCCAGACATTCTCAGACCAAATGAATCGCCAGTAGCAGCCGGCATCATCCAGCATCCTGTGTGAGCTGAGTTTGTCACTGGAACCTATGATGGATCCAGCACAATCCATCATAAACCACGCAGTGCGTTGGCTTTTACCGACTTGCCCGCACTACCCCAGCCCCAATGGTAGCCATTGGTGACGAACTGGAGTTCTATGGCATTCTTGCATCTGGTCAAAGCATATCTAATACTACGAGCACTGCTAATACTATTACGCTGCTACTGCTACTACTACTACTACTACTTCTACTTCTACTTCTACTTCTACTTCTACTACTGCTACTACTACTACTACTACTTCTACTACTACTACTGCTACTACTACTACTACTGCTAATAATAATAATTTAGAAAAAATAATATACATATATATCTATAACTATATATTCAATAAACAATTACAGGGTCAAAAAATGTAACTTACATTTTTTGAGCAAATGTAACTTACATTTTTTGACCCCCCCCTAGCTTAATAGGTGGGGATCTAATTCCTAGGGGATTTCTGCCATGTGGGGGTTTCCTAAGTCGTGGGTGGTACTGTACCCCATTTTCATCATCCATATATAGATAGTTTTATTTTCCATGAAATCAACATTAACCACCGTAAACCAGTTTGTTCATCGGAATTCATCGGATTTTCCATGACATATTGACATATGACATATCATGAAATAGATATTTATAAACCAACAAAATGTGGGGTTTTCGTTGGATTTTCCGTGAAATAAAACAATAACGTTGAGTTTAACTTTAATAGGATTTCCCATTGACATATCATGACATAAGCATAAACATCTATAGAGCAACAAAATTGGGGTTGTTTATTGGGATTTTCCATGAAATAAAACAACATCAACTTTGATTTAATGTATATTTTAATAGGATGTCCCATTGAAATATCATGGGTTTTAATATGTTTTCATCGGATTTTTCATGAAACAAAACAACATAAAACTTTGATTTTCATAGGATTTCTCATTGAACTTCACCAAATGTTGGGCAAACCATATGATTTCCCAATAAACTGTGATTTTTTCATGAAATAAAGCCACCAAATGTTGGAAAAAACCATCTAGATGTTTTCTTTTTTTCGACCCAGGCGTCGGAGGCAGATTGTGCCTTTGGCTTGGTGGCGTTGAGCCTTGGAGAACGTTGGGATAGAAATCGGGTGGATTTCTGGCTGAAACAGACAGGGAGTTCATCTGGTTGGTGGTGACTGGAAATGTGGATGAATTCTATGGTTTATGGTAGATATAACGAACTAGTTAATGGGGATTATGATGGTTTGTAAACCAACAAACACTTGTTGGTGGTAACATGACTTTTATTTTTCCATTCAGTTGGGAAGTTTATAATCCCAACTGACGAACTCATATTTTTCAGAGGGGTAGGTATACCACCAACCAATCATGCAGTTTAATGTAATTTATATGTAATTTAATATGGTTATGCAATGTTATGTAACTAATTTGAACTAACTACCTTGGATAGTTAGCTGGCTAAAAGATTTAGTAAAGATATGTTATGAATATTTCGCAGCAAAACATGATGTAACTAAGACACATGGTGATTCAAGCAGAATAAAAGTTGGTTTGACCAGCAACCGTGGTTACTTTTGTACATGCTTGGTAAAGTATCTGGATAATCGGGGATTATAGGCAGAGCGCAAAGGCTGAAAGAGGGGGAAACCATGGTGGTTTTTTATAGTGGGAGAGGTTGAGCCCCGAAAACACCTGATTTTCACAGGAAACAAAAGGAAACCATGAATTTTGCTTAGGTTTTCGGAGTTTCGATTTTCCAACGTGACCGTCAAAGATTTTCGAAGTGTTTATCCATGTTTGTCCTTTGGGTTGTGCTTGAGTTCATTCATTGAGTTCACTTCCCCGGTTTCAAAGGTTGCTGTGACACCGAGAGCCAGTGGATTCAGACAGGGACAATCCTGTTTGCTTCCACTGCAGTCATCATGTGAATGATTGACTAGGTTTGAGCATTCTGACTGAGTATCAAGATTATCAAGATACGAATCTCAAGATTTATAGGATCCATGCCTCATTTGTGATTAGTTTGCCCTTTAATTCTTCATGTTCAAGATCTAAATCCTCAAAATCGGCCGCGTTTCCGTGAAAATGGAGAATATGGTACCTCTAGATCCATTGCTTCATCCTCATGTTCCCATCATGTTCCCTATTCTATAAGCATTTTTCATGGCTTTCCTAAGGATCCTTCAGACGTTGTCCTCCATCGAAAAGCACCGCGGCAGTTTCTGGGCGCGAAAGGCGCACCTCGGCGCTTGATAGAGTCGGGTCGATGTCAGGAGCCTGGCATGGCATGGCTTGATGTGCTTACCATGGTTTTGACCAATGTCATCTTTGAAAGATGTACATTTTCTGGTTGGTGGTTTCAAACATGAATTTTATTTCCATAATATTTGGGATAATCCTTCCCATTGACTATCATATTTTTCAAGATGGTTAAAACCACCAACCAGTTTCACATGCTAACCAGCTATTTTGTTTGCATGTTTTTCACGATTTAACATGATAGTATCAGTCATATCCACATGTGTGATGCTTTATTATCTATCTGGGTAAGTTATAACGACCTCACTGATCTCCCTCACTGGAATCATGGTTAATAAGGGGAATCATCCCAAAATGGCTTTAATTCAGGTTCGTGAAATATTATACTGTAATTTACCCAGATATATGTAACATAATATGTGGTGTTAATCTATGGATAATCTATGGATACTGTATGACTTATTGTGGGAATCCAACTTTATTATCTATGGATATTTGGATGGTTACCCTCTGGTAAACGTTTACATAACTATGGACAATCACCATGCTATTCATGGGTAAATCCACTATTTCGACTGGGCCATGTTCAATAGCTATGTCACAAATTACCAGACGGTACATCCCAACGTTTGTTGTCTTATTCCAACTTTTACTTGAGATGCGTCCTTCACCAAAGGTCCCAAATTTGCTGATGGTCTCATGGGAATTTAATGGGGATTTAAGCAACAAACATGGGGATATAGAGATATAGTGTGTGTGTATATATATATATACATATTTATATAATATATATCTAATTAGAATTGCCTTCTAATCTCTTGCAAAGCTATGGAAACCATGGCCCGTTGAGTTCACCGAACGAAAAAAACATGTTGATTTTCCATCACAAACGGTTTTCCATGACCACATGGTATCCATTTGTCGTGTATTTGGTGGTGCCGGCGTGCATCCGTTTATTGTGCTATATCCCTGGGAGTTCAGAGTGAGAACTTGGGGGATTGGGATAGGTGACAATTTCGATCCGAACCAATATGAACCAACCACTGGCTGGTGACATTTCTGAGATGTCTTCAGTTTTGTTTTTTTTTTTACAACGACAATTTTTCAGTGGACACCAATCGATGGCCGTGCAAAAAAGGGTCTTCACCTGAGCAATCGGTGAGGCAGATGGATGGCATGGTATCATGACAGAAAAACATGTTCCCCAAAGCGAAAGCTTCAGGAAGTGAAGTGTGCGTCAACTTTGCTATCAGCTAGCTATACTTCAGCTATTTTCATCAGCTATAAATCCCATGTGTTTTTTTCCTGTTTTGTTGGCTAAAGTCAACACTTTCCGTTTGGCGTTTTTACCAGGTACAACTTCGCGTATCGGGTCCTGGCCAGAGCAGGTACCTCGCTGGTGGCGGAGGTGATGGGGCATATTTTTTCACACGCCTGAACTTGGTGGATGTAAAATTACCACTTATAGCTGATTTACCTATTAAAAATGGTGATTTAATGGGATTTATCGGAATTTATTAGGATATATATATATATATATGATGGTATACCCTCTGGTAATTTTACATAGCTATTGAAAATGGCCCACAGAAATAGTTGATTTACCTATTACAAATGATGATTTATCCATAGCTTTTTGTTAGTCTACCAGAGGGTAAGGATGAATACCCGCAATGGTGTCATCCACCCCACTGGGAAATCCCCAGTCACGTTCGCTATGAAGGCTGCTGGTTCGCTGGGAAAATCATCAAACTACATAGGGATATTTTGCAGATAGAAACGAACAAACATGGGGCTTCTCCATTGCAGGTTTGAATGGGAAAATGGGAATCATAATCCCAACTGACGTTCACTCCATCATTTTTCAGAGGGGTAGGCGAAAAACCACCAACCAGTCATATCCATAGATTATCCATAGATATACATAGGACTTATTATGGATAATCTATGGATAATCTATGGATAATCTACGGTCCAACGGTGATTTTCCATGGCCATGGAGGTTTAGTTCGCTTGGAAACTCATCGAACCATTGGGCCGCTGGGGGATGGGCCGTTGAGCTGTTGGAACTTGGAAAATTTCTGTGTGTCTGGTGAGATCGCCATGGATGTTGCGTACGATACTAAAAACTATGGTTGGTGGTTTGGACATGTGGATTAACTATGGTTTATGGTAGATATAATGAACCAGTTTTCATGGGGATTATTTCATGGTTTATATATATCTGCACAAATTATAGCGAGGACAGCCGAGGCAACGAGGCAGGTTGCAGGAATTAGCGAGGTCAGCCCTTAATTTGCTCATCAGAATTAGCCGACCTCGACGAGGTAGCCTTGCATTGGTTCTGTTGCATGCTTGGGCTTGGCTAGAAAAACTTTTTTGGGGGCCAGAGGCCGGCCAGCAGGCAAGGAAGGAAAAAAACGTTTCAGGCCCCAAAAAGTTTTATTTTCTATCGCCAGAGGCTGGTCAGCAGGCAAGGAAGGAAAAAAAACTTTTCAGGCCCCAAAAAGTTTTATTTTCTATCGCCAGAGGCCGGTCAGCAGGCAAGGAAGGAAAAAAAACTTTTCAGGCCCCAAAAAGTTTTATTTTCTATCGCCAGAGGCCGGTCAGCAGGCAAGGAAGGAAAAAAAACTTTTCAGGCCCCAAAAAGTTTTATTTTCTATCGCCAGAGGCCGGTCAGCAGGCAAGGAAGGAAAAAAAACTTTTCAGGCCCCAAAAAGTTTTATTTTCTATCGCCAGAGGCCGGTCAGCAGGCAAGGAAGGAAAAAAACTTTTCAGCCCCAAAAGTTTTATTTTCTATCGCCAAGGCGGTCAGCAGGGAAGGAAAAAAAACTTTTCAGGCCCCAAAAAGTTTTATTTTCTATCGCCAGAGGCCGGTCAGCAGGCAAGGAAGGAAAAAAACTTTTCAGGCCCCAAAAGTTTTATTTTCTATCGCCAGAGGCCGGTCAGCAGGCAAGGAAGGAAAAAAACTTTTCAGGCCCCAACAAGTTTTATTTTCTATCGCCAGAGGCCGGTCAGCAGGCAAGGAAGGGAAAAAAAACTTTTCAGGCCCCAAAAAGTTTTATTTTCTATCGCCAGAGGCCGGTCAGCAGGCAAGGAAGGAAAAAAAACTTTTCAGGCCCCAAAAAGTTTTTATTTTCTATCGCCAGAGGCCGGTCAGCAGACAAGGAAGGAAAAAAAACTTTTCACGCCTATCGCTAGGCCGGTCAGCAGGCAAGGAAGGAAGGAAAAAAAACTTTTCAGGCCCCAAAAAGTTTTATTTTCTATCGTCAGAGGCCGGTCAGCAGGCAAGGAAGGAAAAACAACTTTTCAGGCCCCAAAAAGTTTTATTTTCTATCGCCAGAGGCCGGTCAGCAGGCAAGGAAGGAAAAAAACTTTTCAGGCCCCAACAAGTTTTATTTTCTATCGCCAGAGGCCGGTCAGCAGGCAAGGAAGGAAACAAACTTTTCAGGCCCCAAAAAGTTTTATTTTCTATCGCCAGAGGCCTGTCAGCAGGCAAGGAAGGAAAAAAACACTTTTCAGGCCCCAAAAAGTTTTATTTTCTATCGCCAGAGGCCCGCTTCGTGGGTTGACGGCTGCAGAAGCAGTAGGATTCAGAGTTGCTCCAGAAGAGCATTGCATCTCTGCGATAATGTCAGAGATGTCACCACCCAAGCGCAAGAAGCGCAAAGACCGATCAGACTCAGACTTAGAAATCCCTTCAAGAGACCGTGGATCGTGGAAAAAAACTTTTAGGAAGCTGAATTTTTTTATTCCTTGGGGTTGGACCCTGGAAAGAAGGCCCACAAGCTACTTTCTTCCTTCGAATTAACGAGGTAAAGCCTTAATTTGCACCTGCAAATTAACGAACGAGCACAGTAATCATGGGGAACAAACTAAGACACGAGGGAGACGAGGTAAGAATTAAAGTAATTTGGCCAGATATATATATATATATATCATATATCTGGGTAAATTTCATCACGACCTCACTGATCTCCCGAACCCTGATCTCCCTCACTGGAAATCATGGTTAGCCATCCAGGCCACTGGGGCAGGGTGAGGGCTCTCAATGAAGGTGAAAGGCCTTAATTCAGGTTAGTGAAACATTATCATTTACCAATCTATATATATATATATACATACATATATATATATATATACATACATATATATACATATATATACATATATATATACATATATATACATATATATATACATATATATATGATCCACGTTTGTTTGTCATGTTCCCATTTTTTGCCATGTCACTCTTCATCTGTTTTCCTTTACCTCATGTTTGGGTTCCAGCCATCCCCATCGCCGACAAAAACTTGCCCCTGAGAGGTCCTGGAGATTGTCGCTGGAATGACATGGTCAATCATGCAGTGTTGCTCGCTGTGGGAATCCATGTTTGCTCACCGGGAAGCCCTCGTGACTTCAAAAAAACCATTTCCGAAGAAATTTTGGGTTGCGCAGATTGTCTGCTTTAAATATTGTATCGCATAGTTTCTGGTAATCAAGCACGGCTTGCTGGAAAATGCCCCCTTGATCGTTGATTTTCCCAGCTACAAACCTCCATTTATATCCATTCAGTTCAGGGATTTTCGGTGATGCTCGGGGATGTTCCAGCAGTCGCCAAGATGGATTTTGCACCGTCAGAGGATCACCTTGGATCAATTCAGGTTTGAGTCGAGTTTGCGATATTTGGAAGCCATGGCCCATGGTCGAATTCGATGGATTATCTATGATAACAACTGGAATGCTATCACTGGGGGATTCGTGGTGAATGGGAATAAATGATATGTCATGGTAATTTATAGTGATTTGATGGGGAATACCCTCTGGTAATTTAACATAGCTATTGAAAATGGCGCATAGAAATAGTTGGTTTACCTATTAAAAATGATGATTTTCCATAGCTTTTTGTTAGTCTACCAGAGGGCAAATGGTGATTTTCCAGTTCGCAAACTGTTTTATTTCTGCTGCAAGGTGAGGCCCTTCAGTGATGTTCGATGTTGGTTATACATCCATTAACTAGTTCGTTATATCCCCCATAAACCCAAACATTTTAACCAAGTTATGTAAGTCAATTTAGCTACCCTCTGGTAAACTAACATAGCTATTGAAAATGACCATTTAGTTCGTGGATTTACCCATTAATAGCATGGTGGATCTTTCCATAGTTACGTAAACGTTTAACAGAGAGTATCATCAATCAGCTATAAATCCCAGTAACTCAGTAAATCCCCATTGTTTCTTGGTTCAATCACCAGTTTCCTATGGTTTTCCCATGGGTTTTCCATGGTGAAGTCAGCATTTTCCCATGGTTTTTGGGTACATCGAGGTTCAGCCCCACTGACATGCTGCTGGGAATGGAGCCTGGGCATTCTGAAAAGTTGGCCAAATGGGATAGCCTCTGGCAATCAAACATAGATGTATAAATATCATTAATGGGAATTAATGGAATATAATTTTTATAAATATAATATATCATATAATATTTAGGATAAATATCCCCAAACACACATATATATATATATATATATATAATTAACGGATTATCCAATTTTTACTGGGAATTAATGGGATATAATAGGGATAAATGGGTATAAATCACTATATATAATTGGAATTAATTGGATATAGATAGATGTATACTAGGATTATGGGTATTATAATAGGAATATATTCATAGATAACATCATAACTTATGATAACTACTCACTTTGGTGCAATGGTGATCCCTTGTGAAAGTTGCATTGTTTTTTTTTTTTTAATGGGATACATACCCGTACCCTCTGTAGTTCAATGATTTTCCCAGCTATAAACCTCCACTCATCGGAGATTTCCCGTTGCCATGATCACTGGGGGGCACAACACCCCTACCATTGTAACCCCGCTATATATCTAGTATTATCTAGTTCTGGCTCTTCACCCCTGAGGATCCGCGCTTCCATTTTTGCCCTCCTGGGTCACCGCGGATCTACATCTACGACACAGAAACCCGATGGTCGATTTCGTGGGGGGAATCGATGGGAATGTCATTGGACATATCCTGGGAATGATAAAAAACCCTAGACGAATTGGGTACTGCACCCCCAAAATTTGAGTGGTGTGTATCATCATGTTGAATGATTTCCTATGAAATCACCATTAAGTTTAATAGTAAATCCCATTAAATGCCCATTAAGTCACCACTAAACCACCATTATCACCATTGAATCACCATTTTTCCCATGATGAAGTCCCACTTTTCCGCGCTTCGCCGATGTCAGGAAATGTCCACCACCACTCCCTTGTCCTGCGCTCGTTCGGGATTCTGGGCCTCAGAGGCCGACCAAGAGACCATTAAAATGGGTGGTATAAACCATCAACATATGGGAAGATCAACATGTTTCTTAAAACAAAAACAACTAATATCGACTAGATATAGATTTTGCAAGTGTAAATATCTACATGTATACATAGTGTATTTATATTTAATTATATATATATATACCATATATACATATATATATATATGGAATCACATATCCAATAATTCAGAACCGGGATTGTTATTTAAGATAGGGTAGCACAAGCGAAAAAAAAATCGTTTGTTCTACTGTACACATTTTGTGGGCCCCCACGGCCCACGGCTAAATCCCAACGAACCAAGTGGAGATGATGTGGTACACGTTGAAGCCCTTGACAAAACCATTGGGAGAACAAGCAACCGTTAGAGAGGGGAAGGTTATCGACAATCATCTAGATATGTGAATGTACATGAATTACGTCTTGTCATTTTTTTCAAGTTTTCAGAGTATCATGATTTAATGAAAAATCGTCTATAAAGGACAACTACTGTACTATGATGTCAATTATCATACAGTATAACACATGTTGGGTTCCTTGTCGGTGCATTTCCCATTATCTACAGGACTGTTTATTTATACATGCATATCAAGAAGAAAAGCATACTCCATTTTAGACACACATATCTATTTACTGTATTGATCTGTATTGTATACATACATGCATCATAAATGTTGAAAACAAAACTTCAAAAACTTAACAATTCCATAGATCAATGGATTTTGCATCAAGAATCATTGTTTCTCACCGGTGATTCATCAGATTCCTCACTTGTGATGGTTAAATCCTTATTCACCCGCATAGCATCCCATGAAATCACTGTAAAATCACCATCTATCCCATGAAGTTACCATTAAATCACCATTTTCCTCACCTGAAATCACCATAACACATCATAACACCATAAAATCTCCGGATTCCTCAGTTTTATCATGAAATCCTGGGTAAATTATAACGACCTCACTGCGACCTCACTGGGAATCATGGTTAGTAAGGGGAATCATCCCAAAATGGCATTAATTCAGGTTAGTGAAATATTATTTCATTTACCCAGATGAAATCCTGGGATTTTCAGCGATTTTCGTCAGGTCTACGTCCATCGCTTCCTGCAGCGCTCCTGTCGCACCTTTGATCCGGAGAAGGCGCAGCTGTTCTTCGTGCCTGGCTACCTGACCTGCTGGGAGCTTCGGCACCGTTGATGCGGGGATTTTTCGGTGGTCACAGATGCGGGCGTTGACGAAAGCACCAACCAGTTACCCTCTGGTTATGTCAAAATAGCTATTGAAAATGCCCATTTATAGTGGATTTTCCCATTAAAAATTGTGATTTTCCATAGCTATGTTAAATTACCAGAGGGTAACGGAGAATGGAGAATGGTTGATTTGATGGGATTTTCATCATGGATATTGATGGGGCATTTGGAGTTTTTTCATGGCATTTTCATGGATTTGTCTTTGTGTTTGTGGTGATTTTTGGATTTGACAGGATGAGATTGAGCCCCCAAAAAGATAGAACATTGTAAAAACCAATTGAAAATATATATAGTGACTTTGGGGGTTAAAATGTGTTGCGGTGTCATGTTTGTTTCATGAACATGGGCACACGATAGAAGCTTGTGTCATGAACACATTGGGGCGTATTAGGAACTTAAAAGATCGCTATGAAACCAGCAGGAGTTGCACGGTTGCACAAGCGAGAAGATGATCCAACTTAAGCGGTAAAGCTAGTGGATAATGCTTAATCCACGATAGCGGATCATATTATGCGGATAGATCATGAAATATCCCATTCGGAGTAAGAAGCAATACTGGGATAACTGGACCATCAGGCTTTTTTGAGTCATGTTCGATATCGATACCTCCTGAGGTGTTGGATAGGTTGAAATGGTCGAGAATTAAAAGCGATCTGCTACTACTGGGAGAATCTCAAACTCCAAGTCCATTTGAGCCATTCAAATACAATACCCTTGTTGATTGGTTTTAAGGAGTTATGAAAAAAACTGGTGATTGGGGATTATGAACTAACGCATCTGAGGGGTTTCCCTTCCAACAAAGCCTGCTCATTTCACTGCTTCTGGGAGAGATTGGAATATCACCTGGTTACTTCAACCATTGACTGTGATTGTCGAGCTGGATTATCAGATTGGTTTGAGGGAAATGAACTACGGGAGACCATGTTTTCTTTCGCGCCAAATCAACTCTTGTTCCTCTAAATTTGCTGTCCTGATCTCTTTCAACTGAAGCTATACCCCCTAGAATTCTACTGGGAGAGACTGGATCTACTTCAGTTACCTGAAAGGCAAACTGAGGTTAGAAGATAATAAAACTGCAAATATGTCAAATATGATGATATTGGTGGTCCATATCAAGTGTTTAGATGTCTTCAGGCTTCTAGATATCAAAAAAAGTGGTTCCAATTGTAACTAGGGGCTATATCCCAACTTATGAGGCTTAGAATCCCCGGATTATGCTTATTTTTCCCATCAAGAATTGCAACCTTCGTTTGCACCCCAAAGAATAGATTCTGTCCATGAAATATCCCCGTTTAATCCCATGAAATCACCATCAAACCTCATAAGAACCACCATTCAGTCACCATCAAACCATATGTTTCCCATCTATGTTTTAAAAACGTTCCCATACTAATTATTCTCTTCTTCAACCCCATAAAAAAAAAAACAACTTTAAGTGGTTTAAGGGAACATTTACAGGAAAGCTCATATTTCATGGGACAATCTACTTGGTGGCTCATCCCACGGCTCGTAAGTGGGTTATAACCCCAGTTCTAAATGGGATTTTTGTAGGGTTAATCCACATCAATCACTGGGGTGAACTAACCCACTTACGAGCCGTGGGTAGTTCGCCACCAATCCCATGAACCACCTCGGTCCCGGAGCCCAGGAGCTCCAAGCCGCCAGCCCCTTGGCGCGTCAGCAGCGCCTGCAGCGTGCGGCCGAGTCGGTGCGGCAACTGCCGTGGCGGCGACGTCGCGAGGGCTTGGACCATGTGGCGCTCTTTGGGGCCTCAGCGTGGCAACTGCCAGGGTCGGGGGTTGGGGCCCTGGGGGGAGATGAGTCACCATGATTTATAGAAATTTATAGATATTTACGGGAATTTATTGATATATTTAGTGATATTTAATTATTTTCATAGATATTTGATGATTTTACAAGATTTTCATGGGCTATCAAAGGGTTTAATAGGCGTTTGTAGTGTTTTGTTGGGGTTGGTTAATTTAATGTAGGTTGATAGGGTTGGATTGGTTTCAATGGGGGTTTGATAGGGTTTACTGGTGTTTGATAGGTTTATATAATAGTTTAGTAGTTTAATGTGGTTTAATGATGTTTAATCGGGTTTCATGGGGGTTCATGGGGTTTTAATAGGCTTTGATAGGGTCTAACGGGGTTTCATAGGGTTTCATAAGGTTTAGTGGAACTACCAAGGTCAATGGGATGTGGTGCGATCCAGGTGCTTTTTTTTTTTTAGTTTGTTTACTTGGAGATTTCTATATGCGTTTATGTATGTAATTATAAAATATTATAAACAAAAACATCTATTTAAACCTGGTTGGTGGTTTGGAACATTTCTTATTTTTCCATTCAGCTGGGAATTTCATCATCCCAACTGACGAACTCATATTTTTTCAGAGGGGTGGCTCAACCACCAACCAGATATATATATATATATTATATACGTGCGTGTGTACCAACTGGTTGGTGGTTCAAATTATTTCCTTTTTTTAATATCAACCTTGCTGGGATGATGACCGTTTGCATCGCTATGAAACCACCAACATTGACCGTTTGTATTTCACCGTCTGCCTGAAGTTACAAACCGTTTGTACTAGGCATTTGGAAACTTTGAGAGCTGACTAGGCAAATACTAGGCATTGAGCAACCATTACTCACCATATCCCATTTACCATCCATTCACCAGCCATGTTCTAATAATTTGGGGCTCACTTTTGGTCGTGGCCATAAAGTCTATTAATCCCCATTGTCTTGGTTATCCAAGGTTAGGCCCCGTTGACGAAAATTGCTAAGTTGAAACACATCATTTGGTAAACGATTGTGTTTCTGCGGGATATAACGAACTAGTTATTAAATAATGGGTTTATAAACCAGCAAACATCACTGGGAGGCCTGACATTGTATATCCGATATCTTCACATATATTCACCATGTTGTTCCTATCCAACGAACCAACCATGACTTCTGGATGATATACCACATGTTTTATTGTGACCCCCTAGAAATGATCGTTGAATCCCGATTCAATCAACCATGAAATCATTCAACTATCATCAACTATCATTTCTAGGGGTAACAATAAAACACTTCTCTATTTTACCCCATTCAAATAAAATTCAACCATGAAATCATCCCCACTTTTCTTGGCTAAATTCTCAGCATGAACTCCACGCAAAGAATGCCATTCTTTTTTCTTTCAGGGGCAATGGTATCCCAATGGACAGCGCCCAACGTGAAACAGCAAAATGCTATTAAAACACTGGTTGCTGGTTTGTAACATGCTTCCATATTTGGGAATAAGAATCCCAACTGACTTTCATATTTTTCAGAGGGGTGGCTCAACCACCAACCAGTCATATCCATAGATTATCCATAGATTATGGGATTTGTTATGGAAGATCTATGGATCATCTATGGAAAATGGTCCATTTCTAGATGGTTTACCTATTAGTCCATTTTAAAGCTCCATTTTATCCCATCCCATGGCCCCTCCAGCGTCAGGTGGCGGGATCTGCTGCCGAACTCCATCGTGTTGGCTGTCGAGTCAGAGCCTATCGAGTCTGACGGCATCCCTGAAGCAGAGACCCTTTGCTGCTCGGTTTACGGTCGCGACCGTACGGAAGTTGCCATCGGTTTATTCATGTCAATGGCCGTTTCAGGAACCGATTGATTGGAGGTACCTACCATAAGGCCTATTTTTGAGGCCTATGTAAGGGAATATCCCCACAAAATATGGCCTTATATGGTACAGTACCTCCATTTTAGGATCCTGAAATTCCCATTGATGTTTATTCAACCATCAAACCGTGGTGGTGGCATGGGATAGGTTCGAGTTTGTTTCATGATGTTTCATAGCATGTTTTTTTCCCAGCCAAGAATGGAAGTTGACCATCACGTCCAACATGTTTGATGATTATTTTTCTATTTTTTGGAGCTTCAACATCTCATGTCTTGTTGGTTGAGTCGGCATTGTTGCTGCTTCAACATGCTTCAACTCCCAACTTTTTGATGACTCGAAACCGCAGCATTTCATGCGCCGCGTGGCCCTTGTTACACAGCACACCATGGCTGCCTGCTGTCCTCCTGGATCTTGGCCTGCGTGCCACTTGGCGAACCTGGGAGGCTGTTTTGAATTGTGGTGATACCCAGCGGATGGAATGGGGTATTCAACAGGGTACCACATTTTTCAGACACCAAAATGATCATGAAAGACTCATGTGGGTGAATCATCCAATAGCCAAGGGGTAGCCAAGACAATGTATGACATATTTTTTTCATCCTCTCATGAACTGGTCTTAAGAATAGTTGAGTCTTTGGAGATTCGCCAGTGCTTCCCCACTCGCCAGGTCAGGAACCCTAAAATGTTATGTCAGGTTGCTCCTCGCCTCGCCTCTCCTCCTTCACACTATTGCAAGCTCGCAAAATCTCTGGGGCCAGCTCGCCGGACCCGAACACTATGCCAGACAAAATGTCAGATAAATTAAATTGTCAGAATAAATGTCAGACAGAATGTCAGTTGGCGGGGATCACTCGAAGACAGCATGTTTCAAAATCGATTTAACTAGTTAAATGATCGCGAAGACTCTATTTCAACAGATATAGAAGATCTAGCATCTAGCGAGATACGATTGTCACCTTCGGTGAGCAAACATGGTGACCCTGGCGTGCTGGGAAAAAAAACCACAACGTGGGCCAAAAGGTTCTGTTTGTTTATAAACCCCATGAATACTAGTTCGTTATTTGCATAAACCATAGTGAAATTGGAGTTCCCATATGCTCCATGTATGGAATATGAATCCCAACATTTGCCCCAAAAAACACCCAGTTTTGTAGGTAAATATACCATACATTGAGCATATGGGGTTATAAACGCACCAACTGAGCGAGCTATCGTGGCCACGGCTCGGCTTGGCCTCGTTTGGGTGAGGCCAGTCCTCGGACGACTACACGCCCAAGGGAACACCGTCCAAGCTCGGAGACCTGAGCGTTCCTTGGTCACAGTGACGGGTGGACCGGTGGACGTCAGGTTGAAACAAATTGGCCAAGAAATATACGTACAATGTGAGGCCCCCCCAGTTATAAGTTGGTTTATAAGATTTTATAAGCCCCAGTAACTATGGGATACTAATGGTTGTAATGATGGGATAAGAATGACTACTTGGTGGCTCACTACCCACGGCTCGTAAGTGGGTTAGTTCACCCCAGTGATTGATGTGGATTAACCCTACAAAAATCCCATTTATAACTGGGGTTATAACCCACTTACTAAGTGGGATGAGCCACCAAGTACGTAGCTATATGAAAAATCAGAATTTAAATGGGATAATGTTGTTAAAGCAATAATTAACAATTAAACCACCCATTTGGGAATGATTTATACCACCTATAAAAATGGTGATTTGAGGGATTGTTTATTAGGGTTTTACCCAGATTGATATAATTAATCTACACAGACGATAATCTTGAAAGATTTCGACCCAACTCACTCTGGGTGAACACACACACACACATCAACACAGAACAACATCAGTGTTGTTTCTCACTTTACAATCAGTGCGTGTATCCATTGATTTATGAGTGGAATGTAGAAACATGATATGCACTAGCTAACGCATGGAGAATATGCATGAACATTGCTATATTTACACAATTTTACACATGTATCCCCGGTCAATTCGTAGATTTGTTTGGGATCGTATGAGATTGCATCTCCCAGTTCCTGTTGATGGTGGTGATATCCCCATCCTGTTTCGTTGTGATGTCGAACAAAAAAACATGTTTGCATACGCATCTCCATTAGGAACTGGTTGCAGATTCTTAAGGTCGCTCACTTTCATCGGTGGTGGTATCCTCACTTAGGGATGGCTTCTTTGTTACCACTTAAACAAATGGAGATGTGAAGATGACCATGATCGGAGGCTTGAATGGTTTGTGAATCCCAACTAGGAACCTTGATGGATTTGGGGTACTTCTGAACCGTTGAAGAACCGGTGAACCACCACGATGTCTGGGATTTTTTTCATCAGACGTTCCATCCGGGATGGCAGATATGGCATGATATGGCCATTGTTGGAGTAGAGCTCCAACAAGGCGATCCCCCCAATCGATGATGTTTAACGATTCGCCCCTTCACGGTGATTCTTGCTGGTGAATGTTAAGCCTTCTCACAAGCCGGCTAAAGACAAAGCCACCAAAAAATCAACCAATCACAGAAAATCCCTCTTATATACTCTTATTCAATGGCTAATAGGCCTTATAAACGTGGATATTTTTGGCTTCTTTAATGCCCACTTTTCCTTCCATCCTACGGTCTTCTCAGGTCTACGAGATCGGTAGCGGCGACAAGGCCGTCCTAGCGCCTTCGAAAAAAGCGGATTAGCGGTGTCGACTTGGTCGACCGGCGGTGCAGTGGTTGAAGGTTGATGTTCAAACACCAAGCGAACTGAAAAATCACAATTTTACAATTTTCGCGCTAGGTAAATGAAATTCTAAATAAATGAACCATGGCTTCCATAGCTATATCGAATCAGCATTTTATAGCTAGGTAAATAATAAATATAGGTATCGAACTTTCTATGAACCATGGTTTCTATAGCAAACTGTTAGAGGCTACAACATGGGTATCGAGTTTGGGATTATATCAGATATATTCAGATATCAATCGATTCAACAGAAAGGGGACTAGTACTAAGAAGAATGGGAATCATACGGTGGATGGAAGAAATCCTGCACCACCTTGGATGGTTGAAACCCAAACAAAATAATGGGATTAGCCACCGTTTTCAACTGGCGCAGGATTTCGCAACCATCCACAGTCTCTCTGTAAGGACAGAAGGCAGGGGAGGTATATAAAGCCAGGATAGTATCAAACATCCAGAGAAATGGTTCCACCAGCGAAGTACCACCAGCAAAACCTTTTTGGATGTAAAAAGGTGGGGATGGAAAAATCAACGGATCATGGGGTAAAAAAACCAAGAAGAATGGGACTGACATGAAACATCAATTGGATTCGATTGGAATATATGATATGAAGACAAGAAAAGGGCTTAAGCATGATATAGCCAACAAAAATGGGTTAGAAGTCAACCAACACAAGAGGCTTCACTCTGAAATATGCGAAATATGGGCACGGGGTTCCGGGCATTCACAGTGGGTGCACAAACACTACAGATTGGATCATCTGCAATAGTTACTCTAGTAGCCAACTCAGATTTTGGTGTTTGGACTTTGCATTTTGCAGTATATACCCTCTGGTAAACTAACATAGCTATGGAAAATCACCATTTTTAATGGGAAAACTCACTATAAATGACAATTTTCAATAGCTATGTTAGTTTACCAGAGGGTACATGTGGTATAATTACTGTACTAGCCGACCAATTCAGAATTTTGAACGTGCACTTTGCAGTTCCAATGAAGCGCGGATGACGCCACGCAATGACTTCCCTCAGTCGCCGCCATGCCAAGGTTTTGCCGGACGTTTTTGGATGGCAATCGATGCTTGGGAGCAAGATGTAGCAAGGGCTATCCCCTCCAGTAGTCAATCATCAGGGAGAATCTCAATTTGTTCAAGGGGCATCATCATCTAGAAATGCGGGATCCTCCATTGCATTTTTTTTAACCAAATGCTGGTCAGGCTTAGTACAACGGTTTTGTCAGCCAACAAACACAGAGCAGTGGTTCCAACAGCAGTTGTAGGGTGACTTGAAACATCTTTCCAATATTAGATCCCTGGTGTCCTCAACACCATCAGTTGCTGATTGCCGTGGTCATCCGTGTTCCCCGGTCGTCGTGTTTGTCTGAAAATCGGCGACCCCAATAAATATGATGGTTGATCAATGTTGATCATCATTTCTTCTTTTGATATAGCCATTTGGGGGATCGGCATGACCCATTTTTACCGAAATCCACATCATATTCTGGGATATATCATGATATATCCCATTAGACTCATTCCATAATCCATCATATCCCCAATTATAAAATATTATAAATACCCATTGGCCCTCGTGGTATAAAGCCCAGCAGCATCTAGGAATGCAGGGCGCTTGATGGGCATCGCAGATACCCTGGCAGAGCAGGGCTATCGAGTGCTGCTGTCAGATCCCTTCTACGGTGACACTGCCGCCGGGAAGGAGGATATCATGGACACTTGGATCCATTGGAACCACGTGGATGAAAGTTCCTGGCAATCTCTATAAATGTACCCTCTGGTAAACTAACATAGCTATGGAAAATCACTATTTTTAATGGGTAAATCCACTATAAATGGCCATTTTCAATAGCTATGTTAAATTACCAGAGGGTAGGTTTTTGTCGGGAAAATGGTCTTTTTCCATCGCCATGTTTGATTGCCGGATGGTATAATTGGTTTTCTTTAGATAGGAATGTGACGAATGTGGTTTGAATTGGTTCAAATGTCAATGGAAATCCCGGAGTAAGAAATGTTAAAGGAAATCAGATTTAGATAACAACAAAAAGATCAACATGACATGAATTTGCGTTGATTTCCCCTTAAACCAATTGATTGAAGTTGCAGACTGAACTGTGTAGCGGGAGATATTTCCTCTTCCACCTTCTAGGGGCACCTCATTACTGAAGTGCCTGCGGCTGAGCTGATACCTATATGTGGGTTTCCTAAAATGGGGGGTACCCCTAACTCATCCATTTTACCAGGATTTTTCATTACAAACCAAGAATGTTGGGGCTCCATTTATGGAAAACCTCCATCTACGGCGGCGAAAATTCATGTTTCTGTCGCATCTGAGGGCTGGATTACCTCCTTTCCTTGGGAGAAGAATGTCGGCAAAGATATCGAGACCTGCGTGAAGCATTTGCAGGCGCCGAATGCTGGGCCAGACTGAATGGCTAAAACAGAAGATCGGTAAAGGCGTTGGGTTTGTCTTGTGTAGATACCACAGAATGGCCATTAAAACATGCTGGTTGGTGGTTTGGAACATGACTTTTATGACTTTCCATATATTGGGAATAATCATCCCAACTGACGAACTCATATTTTCAGAGGGGCGGTATACCACCAACCAGCATGTTGATAATGATTTATATAATTGAGAAGTTGATACTGGGGAGGCCAGATGTGATGATGAAACATCTCTCCTAAATTGGGGAGCTAAAGAATCCAGGTACCATTACCATCAATTTTACCGTAAACCATTGGCAGACAAATTTGGTGAGTCCAGGTGAATTTGTTGACACGTAACGCCCTTCCACAAGACAGTGGCAGTAATATCAAAGTAAAGAATCCCAGCAGTGCTGGTGTAAATCAGCGTAAACACTGTTACACTTCCCTTATCTTGGAATCTGGGATATCCAGTGAATCTACTCTGGTTGGTGGTTTGGAACCATGGAATTTTATGACTTTCCATATATTGGTAATAATGATCCCAACTGACTTTCACTCCATCATTTTTCAGAGGGGTAGGCAAAAAAAACACCAACCAGTCACAGTTTTACAATTTTCGAGCTAGGTAAATGAAGTTCTAAATCATTAATTAATGAACCATTTGAATGGAATCACCATTTACCGAATTTAATGAACCATTTATGAACCATGGCTTCCATAGCTATATCGAATCACCATAGCTAAATCTAGTTCCTTACTGAATGGAAACCGGGATCCGACCAGGTGATTCTCCACGGATCCTGCGAGTGGTTTTTTTCCGCATTTTTCATGACTAGGTACCCGGCCTGGTAAACATAGAAAAAACCTATGGAAAGATCCACCATGTTCAGTGGGTAAATCCACGAACTAAATCACCATTTTCAATAGTTTTTTGTTTGTTTACCAGAGGGTAAATCAACTCTAAATCACTTTTTTTTTAAGAGCAAAGTGTTAAATTACCTACCGGAGTATCTAGGTCAATCGACTGGATGGGTACTTTAATCCTGATCTTTTGGTATGGGAATATCAACGTTCACCAGCTAAGAATTTTAATTCTTGCAGCGTATCTAAGATTGGCAATGTATTATAGCTATAATCACCATAGACCCTAGTTAATCATAGTCAATCTGGTCAAACCATGTCAACCCAAGTTACCTAGCTGCGCAGTATCACCTTTGTACACTTTGTCTCTTCAGGATGCAGGCTGCAAGAGCATCGGTGCTGTTGGCTTCTGCTGGGGTGTTTGGGCATTCTGCAAGGCTTCCTCAGAAGGTGGGATGATGACTGAAGCCATTGAAGATGGTTTTGGGTCGAAAATTAAAGCCCAAAGAAAAATATAGAAACTTTCATGCGGGGATTCTGGTGCGTTTTGTGGGATTATCTAATTTTGACTCATGTGGGGATGTGGGGTTCAGTTGGCTCAACTCGGGCCTCTGAGCAGCAACCGGACGATTCCGTCGACTCGGGTCCTAGTCAGGAACTTTTGCAGAAGACTTGATGTGGAGGTTCAACTTGAATGATGAATCCTGGTGACCTTAAAAGCAAACTCCCGCCACCTTTGGAATTTGGACACCTGTGTCGGATTTGAAGGACACATATTATACATAAATATACATCAAATATGCATCAACATATGTCAGAGATTATGTGCACCTGAAAGTCATGAGTATTTCAACGACAATCAAATCTGTGCTCAATCATCCCCAAAATCCTCCTTTTGCCGGAGCCTACTTCATGAGTCGTCCCCAATTTATTCAAGAATCTTCAGGATTCCCAAGAGATCCCAAGAGGCATATGAAATCCTCTCAGGCCCTCACTCCAGGCATTCCCTTGAAGTGTGGCGTTGGACCACACCCCTCCACTCGACTGGAAGGAGCTTTCGGCGGGGACGCCAAGTGCACTCCCTAGACGAGATTACATGCATTGGATGAGATCATTGGCTGTTTTGGAAAGATGGGAACATGAAAATACTCCAAAAATGAAAGACAATCTAGTCCCTATGGATCCAAGTGCATAATTTACTATAATTTGGAGGCTTAAGTACCTTCTCAGACAGTGTTTGGATCCATAGGGAGTATAACATAGTATCACTAACAAGGTACAATGTATACCCCATGGCGGATCCATGGTCCTGGTATATATGCTAACATTATTTGGGGGTATATTGATGGGATCCATGGAGCACCATGAATATAGCAGCACCATGGATCCGTCATGGGATATCTATATATATATATATCTATATATCTACTATATTATATATATATATCATTAATATCTATTATATGGTTAGATAACAATGATCTATATTATAGGCTATGTTTTGGTTCCGTGTTTTTGGCACCGGCTTCCGCTTCCCACCTTTGAAAAAATCCAAACAGGTCGGGACGAACAAGCGATGATGGACAAGGTCGAGATGCCAGTGCTTCTGATGCCAGCAGGCAATGACCCGGAGAATCTCAAAGAAGGCCGGTGAATCGAACGGTCGAAACGTTGAACGATTTTTTTTAGGTCCAAGTTGTGAGGCTCAAAAGATCGATCGAAAGGTGCATGTAGAATCATAAGTAAACTCGGTTACACAGATATCAAGATGTAGCAAGCTGCTTGTTGGTTTGGAACATGTTTTATGAATTTCCATTCAGTTGGGAATTTCATAATCCCAACTGACGGACTCATATTTTTCAGAGGGGTAGGTATACCACCAATCAGCAAGTGTATTTATATCATTTCATATCATGTAAATTGATGTAATTTGTACATAAGAAATCATATATACTTGCAGCGGTTAAATGTTCCTGTAACCCATTCACCAAAAAGTCAAAAAAACTGCACAAAAACTGAGAAACAGAAAACCCTGATGAAATTGGAGAAACACGTGTTCAAAACGTGACGCCGTTTTCGTTGCCCTTACCTTGATCCCTGCTCTAGGTGGTGCCATTGCAGCCTCCATGGCCAAGAAAGGTGGTGCCAGCATTACCTTCCCAGCCTCTTGTCGTGGAGCGATTAACCCAGAGTCTTTTGCGACATTTTGTGACGCAGATGATTTTTTTTAGATGAGTTCACATATGAAATTCGTTGTTGAAATAGACTGTTTCTTATATAGAACATGTTTCTTGGTTGAAACAGATTGTTTGTTGATGTTTGTTGGTTAGAACAAAACAATGTCTTGGTTTACACACCAGCATTGTTGGTTAAACACACCACTTTTCTTGCTTATTTCACCATTCTAAACAATTTGACAGATCATATATCCAATACATTAACCAATATATCCTCAACAGTAAAACTATGAAACATACTCTATATATATATATGTATAATAATGATAACAATAATAATACATATATATATATCACGTTTTGAACTGGACCTGAAATCATCGCGAACGAGGACATGCAGCACGGCTGGAGTTGCCGTGGTGATTTAAAGGTGCCTGAGGTGAAGCGTGATGTGGTCCCGTGGCTGCCGTGTTCGGAGAGGTTATGTGAGAAATGGTGATTCAATGGGAAATTATGGTGGTTTAATGCTGGTTGGTGGTTTGGAACATTTTTTATTTTTCCATTCAGGAGGGGTAGGCGAGCTCAACCACCAAGCAGTTACACGAAAAGTCTGGATTCCTTTTGCCTTTGGCAAGCCCTTGGCTGACAGCGAATGTGATGATTCATGTGATGGAGTTGGTGATGTTACCCTCTGGTAAACTAACGTTTTGCTATTGAACATCACCATGCTATTCATGGGAAAATCCACTATAAATAGCCATTTTCAATAGCTATTTTGTTAAATAACCAGGCCGGCTAATGGTGATTTTCTCTGAGTTTTGGATGATTTAATGGGATTTTAATGGGATCACAGTGGGTTTTTATGGGATCTTATGATTGTGTGATTAACCAACTTATGTGATTATGAGATGTTAACCAACAACAATGAGGATATTTATGAAATTTTATGGTTGATTTATGATTTTTTTTTAACCCCAGAATTTAACCAAATACTACTGTTGATTGGTTAGATGATGATTCTAGATGTGTTAGTGTAGGAGGTTATACTAATGAAATGGTTAGGAGATGTGAGATGTTCGGGGGTTACACGTTTTGTTTGCTAAATTGACTCGCTCTCTTTTTTGGCTATAGGTCATGATAGGGGGATTTAAACATGGTTATTTGGTTGGGTTTCCCACCAATAAAGTTGATGGATCATGGAGGATAGCAATGGGATGTAATGAGCAATGGGTAAAACAAGACTTTTTTTTTGCTGCGGTTGTTTGTTTCTCCAGAAATTGAGGTAAGTACCCTCTGGTAAACCAACAAGAAGCTATTGAACATGGCCCAGTCGAAATAGTTGATTTACCCATTAAAAATGGTGATTTTCCACAGCTTTTTGTATGTTTACCAAGAGGGTGCTACCCAAAATCAAGCGGTTTGAGAAGAACTTCTCCACTGAAGCCCTGTTTTTTTTGCGTTTTTTGAGTCCCCGAGTCCTGACCAATGGCCATCTTCCCCAAGGGAGTTGACCGACATGGCCAAAAAGGCGAAGTGGCGAACTGGAAAATCCACCATTTTGGTATAGCTATGAATGGTAAATGGTAAATCATCAGGTAAATCATCTATTTCTACGGTAAATCATCAGGAAAATCTGCAGTTTCTAGTGGGTAAAACATCTATTTCTATGGTCAATTGTCCATAGCTATGTTAGATTGGCAGAGGCTATTTCATGGTATTTGGACCCATGCTCATGTGAATATCAAACTAAAATATCACCCACTGAAGAAAGGGGTGTAACATGATGTAACATGACGCAACATGATGTAACATGATGTACCATCTGGTAAACTAGCATGACATAGCTATTGAACATGGCCACTTATAGTTGATTTACCCATTAATATCATGGTGATTTTCCATAGTTGTTTATATGTTTACCAGAGGGTATAGGGGATCTATAGATGATAGATGATAATAGGTCCTTAAGCCGTTCTAATCATTTTTAAATCTATGTTGAAGCACGTTGAACCAGCTGCAACTGCGGCTTTGCCTCTCCCCACTCGGGCAGATTCCAAGGAGCTGGCCATGAAACATATGGTCGACTTCTTTGCCAAGAGCTTGGGCGGCAGGGCGTTTCGGAGTTGGCGATTTGAGTTGCAACATAGCTATGGATCGATCATGGATCTAAGGGTTATAATGACTATAGTGATTTATATGATCTAATGACTCATTATATATATAATTATATATATATATTACTATATAGATCTAATGAGTAGTGATCTCTCATGATCTATAATCTGAAGCCTTCAAATCAAGATCTGAAATCATATTTGGATACTTGGAGTATCATTAGAGTTCCTCAAAATGAACCTGCTGAAAGCTTGAAGTTCTCACACATTCTTCGAGGTCGGGCTTGAAGTCCTGTACTGCTCCTAGCAAAGAAGTGGAGGAAACGCCACTTAATTTTTTGAAAGAGATTTTGACTCTGAAGAACATCATATAATCACACATATATATATATAATATATATACAGCGTATATAAACTGAGTAGACACACGTAATGTAGACACTGAGTTGTTTTCTGCTTCAAGACAAGCTCACCAAAGGATCCATTTGAAAACGGCGTGTTTTGCTGACAATACATGCCACAGTTGGCTTAAGGGGAAGTCTACAGGAAAACCCGGCTATATATATATATAATATCATTGGGTGATATTGGGTGTAAAAAACATGTTCCCTGAAACCAACCCAAATTGATGGTTTCCCAGATGTTTTCTGTGTTCTTCCAACTGTAATTAACCATTTGGTTATTTAACATAGCCATGGTATAGATGGCCCATAGAAATAGATGGTTTAATATGGTTTACCGTTCTTAAAAAGGGTGGATCTTTCCATGGCGAACTGTTAGTCATAACCAGAGGGTATGCCGCATTATGACATACCCTCTGGTAAACTAACGTAGCTATGGAAAATCACCATTATTAATGGGAAAATCCACTATAAATGGCCATTTTCAATAGCTATTTTGATATAACCAGAGGGTATCTTCAGGGCATCCCAAAAAAGCCACCAATGGGATTTCTCCCAATAGAAATGGCGAAGAATGAATCACTGGTTGGTGGTTGGGAACATTTATATATATATATATTATGGTAATAAAGTAGTCCCAACTGACTTTCATATTTTTCAGAGGGGTTGAAAGCACCAACCAGATCAGGTTCCACTGCGACACAATTTCTTTCTCGAGGTACCCAAGGCAATCTTGTCCTGATTCGTCCTGCTGAGGAATCTGTAAGACCAGAGCTGGTCAGGAGCAACCCGTCGCCTAAGCATTGGCCAAGACCCTGGTGTAAATTATAGTGACATCACTGTGACTTCACTGGAATGGTAAGATGGTAAGAGGAATCATCCCCAAATCGCCTCAGGATGCCTCAGGTATTTCAGGTTAGTGAGTTATTGCAATTTATCCACTTGTAGTAAACTTAGTAGGGGGTTGTACTTCCCAATATATAGAAGATTTTCACCATATGTATTCAACAACTGGTATAAATGGTTTGTCACTGGATGCGAAGCCATAGCAATCCCCAAAAGGATACAGTAGATTGTTGTACACTCCTACTAAAAGTAGTGGCAAAATTCATTTTTTTCTACTTTTTTTGATTTCTGTTGGGGGTTGCCATATAATATGTACATTATATATATATAAGGTATACATACAGTATGGGGTTTGTCCCAATGTTTGTAATTCGTTGATGCCATGGTTATCAATCACTTTCCAACTACCATGCAAATCCAATAATTCATGCGGGTTGTCCAAAAATGAATGAGGTGAGCTATTGCTTAATATATTCTAAGCGTACGATCCAGCTTTGTACAAACTTTGTCAAGGTATTGTGACAGTATGTGTATATTTAAGATTATAGTATCCCCTAGAAAGACTGGAAAAGGAAAATCCCACTTAAGTAAATTATATGTATTTATATACAGTACTTTTCTATCATGTTGGGGTTACTATAATCGACATCATGGTTTCCTATAGATTGAAAGCAATGAACCCAAGGGTTGACCCTGGACCAGTTTTAGAGGAAACAGGGTCATGATAGTTGGTATATTAACCACAAACACACCCTTTGGACATGTTAAATTTAACAGTTGGGATTGGTGTTGACCCTGAAATGTGAAAATTTTGACCCAAAAATGAACATTGATACGGATAATGACATGATACAGATACTGTACAGGTGGCTTAAAACCACAGGTGGCTGAAAAGTTTTGACCAAAAAATGTCTCACTTCCAGGAGTCGACGCTTATCTTTTGAGTCCGGACAGTAAGTTTTCGGCGCTGCAACTGCAGCATGACCGCTACAGAAAGAATTTGCAGCATGCTGAGGGTTTGAGCTGCTGGAGTCTCACCTGGAAATGAGTCAAGACCTTAGGGAATTGATTAAACCTAATATTTATGGCGAATTCCCATATCATATTTATGGATTAATATTCATAAACTCAGCAAATTCATCAAGACCTCCGCTATTTTTATGGCGAATTCGCCAGTGCCACCATCTTGTTGGAGTTGTATTTGTCGCTGTCAGCTTACACCCGAACTTCTTCGTCCGTCCGCTGCAATGGTGCTATCGTTGTGTAATGACAGAACAAATATAAAATAACTCGTTGGTGGTTTGGAACATTTTTTATTTTTCCATATATTTTCAGAGGGGTTGAAACCACCAACCAGATAACATATTGACACTCCCCACTTCGTTCTTAAAAAATAATTCTCGATCATGTTACAGCACCGTTTCGCTCGATTCATGCACTGCTCTGGAACGCATAGATTTGAGTCATCTTCTGTACTGAACCTGTCCATCAGGGGGCCGCGCATTTCACTCATACCTGGAGGTTAAACATAACTTGAACTGCTTTTCATTTTGTTCAATTACATCGGCGACGTCCCCCTACAAAGTTTTAGCAAATCAAACAATATTAAGCATACATTAAACACTATGAAACACTATTAAACAATATTAAGCATACATTAGGAACATCTACCATTTATCAATGTCCTCCGGTGTCATCCATGACTTCCTGGAAACTCCCCATGTGAAGATGATGTGGAAAATATCTGAGGAATCTGAGGAAATCGTTTTTCCACTTGTGGATACCCCATAGATAACTTACACAATCTATAGATTATACATATATATATATAATCACATAGTAAATACTATATAATTTATAGACAACTATGAAATCCATCCAGTTTTCCACATTTCTTTGCGACGATCTTGTCGTAAGGTTGGCACTGCAAGGACTGTTTCCAGCCCTGGAAGGCTCGCGATTCGCGGGAATACCATGTGGTAATATCCGGTAATGGGATTTAATAGGATTCAATGGCTATACATCGAGCATTGGAATAATGATTTGATGGGATGTACCCTCTGGTAAACTAACAACACACCTATGGAAAATCACCATGCTATTTTTATGCTATGAAAATGGGTAAATCAACTATTTCGACTGGGCCATTTTCAATAGCTTAACCAGGCCGGGTGTCTTAGACTTTCTGGTGATTCACGGGAAATAACTGGGAGTTTGCGATGTATGGAAGCGCCATGGCCCAGTGATCTCGATGATAATGATGACAAATCGTCCATAGCAAACTCTGAAAAATAACCAGAGGCTGCTTGTCTAATGCTTTGGATATTATATATATATATGTTTCTTTGTCCATAACCAGAGGGTGGATTTAAATCCAATTTAAACTAGGACTATAGAAAAATATAGAAACTACCGATTTAAATCCACTGGCTTTGGATTGAACATGAAACATCCCAAGAAACAGCTCACGACCTGCTTTTTTTGTGGGGAAAAAAACAAGGTGCCTGGCCCCGCCTCAAAATGTTTGTTGGTTGATGTTCAGCCCATTGACTAGTACGTTTTACCATGTTATACCATGTTATAACCACCATTCAACAACCCAAGAGTTTTCACCGAGGGCCCTCCAGGGCCCTCACCCTGTAGTTGACAGTTGTATTATATTATATCAGTTGGATGGGGATTAAGAATTTCATAGTACGGGATAATCACTGGTTGGTGGTTTCAAACATGATTTTTATTTTCCATGTATGGGATAATCCTTCCCATTGACTCATATGTTTCAAGATGGTTAAAACCACCAACCAGATAATCATACCATCAAATTGAATCCCTCTATTTTTGTTGTGACCCATTTACGACCACCTTCATCAACCGCATGGCCTATCGAAGCACAGGATGTGGTCTTGCCCCCACTGACTCCACTGCCGGCGGCGCGTGCCTTGATCGACCGAAGAAAGACGGCTGGGAAATTGCCTGTTTTTTCTGGACATTGAAATTGGGACATCCTTTATGATGAGGAGATTTTCCTGCAAGCCATGTTTCAGTACTCCAGAGGATAATTAATCGACAAAACTTTGGGTCTTTTTCAGAGCGCACGCATGGGTTTGAAGAGTAAAACATGGGGATTAGCCTCTGGTAAACTAACATAGCTAAGAAAAAGCGCTATTTTTGACATGTAAACAACTGCAAATCACCATGTTCAATAGCAAACTGTAGTTAAGCCATTACCAGAGGGTGCAGAAATCATCAGCGAACATGATTTCTCCCAGATTCTCCAAGTGGGATTTTTCGGTTCTCCTGTGGAGGTAGTCTCTTAAAGAAGTCCAAGCCCTTCATGGAGCGCGAGTTCCTGATGTCGCGCGGCGAAATGGGGTCAACCCTTGGTGTTGAGACACACTTGGGGTGCTGCCATGGCAAATTTCATCAGATGTTGAATATGGGTATTGACCAAAGCCTCTATATATAAATATATCATCTCGAAACAACGAGATCAACCAAATTCATCCAAAGCCTATGATATCATCTCGAAACAAAGAGATCCCCCAATTTCCGGTTGTTTAAGACCCTTTTTCCACAAAAAAGACATGCAATCAATTGGGGATTGCCCTGTTTCGAACCAAGCCAGTGAGTGAAAGCGGCAAGAAATCTTCGGGGTTTTTGCACCATTTCTGGGCAAGCCAATATTAGGTATTAGCAATCCATGAAATTTGAACACAATTACCGTCTGGTTATGACTAACAGTTCGCCATAGAAAATCACCATGCTATTAATAGGTAAACCATCTATTTCAATGGGCCATCTATACCATGGCTATGTTAAATAGCCAGAGGGTATGTTTGATAATTTTGGTGCTTAAATCATGTTAAATCGAAATTTGGCTTGGTCAAACTCGGTCAAACACCATTTCAATTAGCTAAATTATGTGAAACTTCCCATGTTTTTTCATGTGTTAACATTTGGTTATTTAACATAGCCATGGAAAACCACCATTTATAATAGGTAAATCCACTATTTCTATGGGCCATCTATTCTATGGCGAAGTGTTAGTCATAACCAGAGGGTAACTCATATTCAATCCCAATTTGACTCAAAGGATGCCATGGTGAAATCGCAGAGTCCTAATCGATTAACGAAACAGAGCAGTGTTCATACAAAAGCCTTGTTGGTTGATTGTTTTAGGGGAACATACTAGAGGAATGACGATATTATCCATTATCATAATCCATTCTCATATCCATTGGATCATAATTTCTTAGCCATTATGTTGAAGATCCATGATGATCCCCTAATATTTGAATATTTTTCATACCATAATGTTTGACTTTTCTAAACAACATGTGAACAAAATGTTGAAGAGATGATCATAATCCATTAGAGGAATCCCGTTCTTAACCAGTATAATGAAACGACAGATAGTTTTGAAGAATGCTCAATTGTATCAGGCAATTCCCCATTTTTGTGAGCTATATTCGAATAAACATGGAAAACCGTCCCATTTATAGATCATTTGTCATATCTACAGGGTATATTTGTTTTTGAACATATCATTTTCCATTTTTACCGGACATCTATTGCATTATCTTACTAATCCAATCCCTAAACTTTAAACTTGTTTCATGGTCTGCGCGCGCCCCTACCCAAAATAAGATTCTTGAGGTTATCCACCTATTCGCCTGTTCCTATTATGTGCTGTTGATTTACCGCCTGGTTTGATAATAATCAAATATTAATCAACCTGTTTGATCACAATCAATCAGTTTTCAGAATAGGAAAATCAATCAAATGTGGCTTGCGGGAAATCAATCAGTTTGATTCATTTTGTTAGATTATGTTCCCATTAACATCTTCATGTTTATCGCAGCTAGCCTTGCTTGATGACACCGGAGGGTTTGTTCAAGTAAGGGCAATGTCCACTCATACCTGGGGCTATAATCCACTTACACATCAGATTCTTGCGTATATTCCCTACTATTCCAATTAATTATATCCCCGTATATGCTTGCTGCTTAATTTTAAGGCGATGTTATACACCCCACTTTATCCCTCTTATTGGTCTTCTTGGTGGTTTTATCCAGCCATGAATCGGGGTGAAAGAAAAACTCATAATGAAGATAACAACACTACATACTATTTATTACCTGGTTGATGGTTTCAAACATGAATGGATTATTTTCCATCATATATTGGGATATTGAGATAATCCTTCCCAACTGACTCAATTTTTTCAGAGGGGTTGAAACCACCAACCAGTTACGGAGTAGCGATAGCAATCGTTTTGGTGCCGTGTGAACTCCCCAGTACTGTGATGTTGGTTGATGTTCACCCATGACAACCCATTAGCTATAGATAGTTTTTATGTATAAGAACTTGAATCTAACCCCCGAGTCCTACACATGTTTCAATTACAAATCATTGACATGAACAAGCCACTAACTACAGATAGTAGTTACATAGTAGTTACAATGATGTTAATCATAACCATAGACCCTCGCTATACATTGGAATCATCATTACATTAATGGGATAGCTAACCCAAACTAAAGTTAACCCTAGCTATACATTGGAATCATATACTATAGTTAACCCTAGCTATACATTGGAATCATAAACATTACATTAACTAAATCGTTCTATCCCTCAAAATTCAAGAGCTTTCACCAATGATGTGCGACGTCAGGACCTGGCACGGTCAACATGCCGAGTCCAGTAATCCAGCGGTGCGCAGGGCCTATGAAATCACCAACGACGCTTGTGGTTTTTTTTGTTGTTTGTTGGGTGAAAGATATGGAAATTTAGATGAATTTAGCTAAGTTTAGCTGGAATTGCGATGAATTTAGCGATGTGAACTTTGGTGTTTTTTTGGGGTGAAAGATATGGAAATTTCGATGAATTTAGCCAAGTTTAGATGGCGATTTATAGCAATTCTAAGTGGGAAAGGAATGATTCACCAATGGCTTCAGGAGATTTCATCTGAAAATGAAGGTGAATTGTCTAATGGTCGGATTTTTCCCCCCAAGTTATGGCATTGGAGATGAAGGATTCACCACCAGGATTTCAGTTCTGTGATTCACCACTTGTCCATTGGTAAATCCATCATTTGGGGGAACGAATCAGGAAGATTTGTGTTATTCTATTTCATTTTATGTTTCCCCCCTAATTTTAAATGGTCCATTTAAATGTGGGACATGTTCTATGGTTTTCCTATGTTTTCCCATGGTTTTGCTATGTTTTTCCATGGTTTTCCAAGGAAAGTTCGGTGTTTGATCACCGATGTGACAGGTCAAGTCATAGGGAGTAGTAGCTACGGGGTGTCCGCAAGATAAACGGTCAAGACATATTAGAACCAATTATGGAGCTACACACATAACTGGTTCCGAAGCATGTGATATATATATATATAGTGTATATATATAGTATTATATATATATGTATAACTATAGTTATATAATATGTAATTCTTTTGTCACTGAAGTGGAGTTGGCCCATTTCCTGAGTTTTTCGTAGCTTCAGAAAATATTCCATTGACTCCAAGGAAACGGTGCGAACCTCCCTGATCCACAACTTGAGTGGCTGGGCCTTTGGGCCTGCGGTGCCCCCAATAATGATCGGTGGGTGATTAAAGTGGTAAAGCTAATTACCTACAATGTGGGGCCCCCAAACGATAGCTAAGGTGGTTTATAACTCCAATAACTATGGTTTATGATAGTGATAACTATAGTATTCATGGGGTTTATAAACCATCTTATAACTGGGGCCCACATTGTATAAGTATATGATCTAAATTGATATAATTAACTAGGGATTATTATGACTACCTGGTCGCTCAGTCATACAGTGACAATATATTGCAATAATAATCATACAGGGGTGATAATGACACATTGTGGTAACCCCTGTAAACCAGCCAGTGAAATGCGGTGATGCCGTGATACCAAAAAACACGGGCACTGCTCAAGGGGAACTAGACATCAAGAATGTTTGTTCTGGGTATTATATACTTGGTTTATCCAGCTACCCACGATGCCAGTGGATACTGGATTTAGGGAATATCTAAAGGACAATCCCTATCTGTATATAGTTCTCCATCAGCCACTACATAGGGCTTATTGTCAGTAATTCTTTCCTTTGACCTTTGATATGACACACTCGACCATGGGCTATGAACATGGTAAACATATGCATTTCTTGTGACTCCCATTCCAGATTCAGCAGATTCAACAGCATCCTCAGCAGCATCTGGGGATGAATCAAACCTTTCATGCCTTTTTGTTTTGGGGATGAAGATCACCATAACTAATATTAGTTATTTTAATATTATTATTATTAATATTAATATTATTAATCACCATGCCTTATATTATTATTTTAATATTAGTTATGGATGAACATGAACATCAGCACCAGCTGGGATGGGGCTTCACCAGGTCATCTGCCGGATGTTTCCATTGGGTCTCCGATCTCGGACTATGCTGGCATCATGGGCAACGCCAAGTTTTGCCTTTGCCCCAAAGGACCGGTAAGACAATAGCGGTTGGCTTGGGCCGGAAAAGAGCCACTGTTGCGAAGGAATCCAATACTTGTTGTTAGTTAAATCCTTAGATCTCAGAGTTGGTGCATAAAAAAACTAGTTTTGTTTGTGGGTCAACATGTTCACTTCTTCTAGTCAACAAGTCGAAAATTCCCATGTTTTCTTGGTTCCAAGGGTTCCAAGTGCCAACGTTCGATCATAAATCAATCTTGGCAACGTTAGATGTTCATCTCCCCGCTTAAATATTGCATGATGATGTTTGGATTGATCCATGAAACTCATGTAGCTTTCATATGCCATCTGAAATTTGATTATTTATGAATGATATTGAATGATCAAGATGCTGCATATTACACGTTTTTCATGCCCACCCTCTGGTAGTTTAACATGGCTATGCATTGAATTTGGTAGGGATTGATTATCGAACTGGGCCATGGCTTCCATGGCAAACTGTTGAATGATTTCAATAACTGAGGACATCAATGGATTTCAATCCACCACCATTTGTAGGTCATAGGTTTACAATAGGTTTATAATTTAATTCTACATATATGTATATAAATGTTATAGTATAGTACACTATATATATAATATTATAATAAATATATATAGTATATTACATATACATAATATATATATACACACCGTGACACATATCAACCCCATCTTTCGTGACTTTCGGCAGGAGCCAGCTCCTACACCTCGCGGGTCTTTGAGGCGCTCTTCGCTGGCTGTGTCCCTGTGATTCTTTCCGACCACGTCAGCGTCTCGTCGTGTTTTTTGTCGAGATCTAGCGATATGTTCTATATAATGTGTTTAATGATGTTCAATAGGAGAGCCATTTTTTTCCGGGATTCATAATGTTGGCTTAAAAAGGGTTTTCAATGGGGTTTAATGGAACTGCTAGGGTTTAAGAGCATGTTGTGAGGTTCCCAGTGAAGTGTTTGTTGGTTGATGTTTACCCATAACCCTAGTTAAGCCTCTGATAAATCAACTTGCATAGGCGGTGGCGCCTTGTATTTTATTGGTTCATCCTAGATTTAGTCGCTTTTTTTTCAATCTGGCAACATCCCCATCTGTTGCTGGCTAAATCCCAATGTTTCATGGTTTATCTAACTTTCCCCGGACTTGACCCATTGTCGGTTGATGGATTCTCAAGTTTTAGTGCTTCGATTTGGGCATCTACTTGCTTATGCCTAATGTGGGAAAGCCAACGAGCATTTGAAGGTCGTGAACCACTTCCCAACTGCCAAACAAAGAGATCTATCTATATCCATATATATATTATGACATACTTGAACCAATGGTCTGGCTGGGGGTTGATCTTTCCCAGCATCATAGCTCAGTTTTTTTTGTTTTTTTTTGTTGCGGACCCCACAGCCAGCGAGTTGCACGGCATGAGGACTGCCCTTTGAAGAGTTGGTGCACTGGAAGGACTTCAGCATCGCCTGGCCCATGGACCAAGCTGACTCTCGACATCCGCGAAATGCCGCCAAAGAGCTGGGGAACGTCTTGGCTGGTATAGGGATGCTATGTATAGCCATATATATATATATGTGGTATGGCAATGGGGATGCTATGTATAGCTATGATTAGCTATATATATATAGCAATGATTACAATCATTAGCAATTTTCCCAGAAAATAGAAGCCATTAATGGTCTATTGAAACCTTTGCCATGGCAATGTCCTTTTTTTTCAAACAGGCCAGCTGTTTGAGGTTCAACCTGACACCCACCGAGGTGTAGAGTAAACCTATGATAGTAAGGATTGGTCGTCAGATACATGCTATGGGAACAAAATGCATCCCTCCACATGCGCAGTAGTTCTCGGTAGTTCCCAGCTTTTGATGATGTTTCAAGGATCTTAGCCTCTATGACTACCTCAAGAGTTGCTTGGTCAGCATGGGGACAGGGGGCACAGACAATAGACCATAGGGCCAAATGGATCCAAATGTTGTTTCTCAAAGACATTGGTTTCCCTTAATATAAGTATCAGCAATTTCGGGTAATTTTGGCCTCCCCTCTTTGACAAGAACCGCTCTTAATTGTACCGACATTTGGACACCCCAAACCTTGCGACCAGTGCGAGCAGTGCGACCTAGGCCTGCTGGAGCATGAGCTGCCGTACGTCCTTCAGTTGCAAAAGAGAGCGGCGGAGGTCAGGTGTTGGTTCGACTACTTCGCGCAAGAGAAGGCGCAAGCCAATGGGTGGAGCAAGGCCATGGGATCGTCTTTTTACCTTGGAAGCCGAACAAGGCAGTTGTGTGTGTTTTCTTGAATGAGTCCTTGGAGCAAATGGTTGGTACATGTTGGTACCAACAGAGTCGTTATGAGGTTTCTTGTTTCATGGGGAACTCCGAAACCAATGGTTCTCCTATTGAAAACAACCAAATTTTTAGATGATGTTGGCATCCTCCAATTGGCATCCTCCAATTCAAAGCCATGTTGTTTTGCCCCCGAGTGACGAACATCTATCAACTGAGAAACAGGGAGTCAGACATGTCGTGATCCTTCCTTCCAGCACCCTGTCGACAAGTCTGTTGAGGTTAACCAGGAAACATGCATTTTCTGGTTGGTGGTTTGGAACATGTTTTATTTTTCCATTCAGTTGGGAATAATAATCCCAACATCCCCCTGGCAATTTCCTCTATAAAATAAAGGTACCCGGGTACCCTTATAACCCATTATTTTATCCCTCTATAAAATGTTTTTTCCCCACCTGCCAGGTGAGGGTTGTTAGATTTTATGTCAGTTGCCTGGTCCTCCTCGTCCTCCTCCTTCTCCTCCTCGTCCTCCTCCTCCTCCTCTCGTTGTCCTCCTCGTCCTCCTGCTCAACTGCGACTCGCGATCCACAGTGTTCTCTGTCGGACCTCCACCACGACCATCCACGCCCAGTGTTCCCTGCCGGACCTCAACCACGACCATCCACGCCCAGTGTTCCCTGCCGGACCTCAACCACGACCATCCACGCCCAGTGTTCCCTGCCGGACCTCAACCGCGACCATCCACGCCCAGTGTTCCCTGCCGGACCTCAACCACGACCATCCACGCCCAGTGTTCCCTGCCGGACCTCAACTGCGAGTATCCACGCCAAGTGTTCCCTGCCGGACCTCATGTAGGAATGTCAGATAGACTGCCAGATAGAATGCCAGATAGAATGCCAGATAGAATGTCAGATAGGATGCCAGATAGAATGCCAGATAGAATGCCAGAAAGAATGCCAGAAAGAATGCCAGATAGAATGCCAGATAGACTGCCAGATAGAATGTCAGATAGAATGTCAGATATAATGCCAGATAGAATGCCAACATATATGCCAGAATATATGTCAGATAGAATGCCAAAATATATGTCAGATATAATGCCAGATAGAATGCCAGAATATATGCCAGAATATATGTCAGATAGAATGCCAGAATATATGTCAGAATAAATGACAGGTAGGATGCCAGAATATATGTCAGATGAAATGTCAGAAAATATGTCAGATAGAATGCCAGATAGACTGCCAGATAGAATGCCAGGTGGAATGTCAGGATATATGCCAGATAGAATGCCAGAATATATGCCAGAATATATGTCAGATAGGATGTCAGAATATACTAAATATATGTCCAAATATACGTCCTGACATGTCATGGTGGGGATCACACGAAGTAGAGTATTTTTTTTTTATGTTGGGAAATACGAAGCACTTTTTGGTGGTTTTGGCATGTTGCAAGGTCAACCCAGGTCCCCATTTTATAGAGGGACTTTTTGGGGTAACTTTTGGGGGCTCTTTTTAACCCTGGTCCCCATTTTATAGAGACTAATGCTTGGATTGTGTCAACATGAACAACTCGCTAGACCGGCAGCACCACATGGCTCCAAAATGTTCAAAAAGATCAAACATGTTGGCAAGATTTGGCAAGTAAAAAGAGAAACCAATTGAATACAATCGAAACTAATCAAATACATCAAATAAGGATAAGTAAGGCCTTTCTTTAAGCCGGAATTTTCAAGAACGATAGTATGGGAATGACATGGAATGAATGTATAAGGGGGACATGCAGAATCAAGAATCATTAAGATACTACAAGAATCTACAAGACAATAATAGATAATACAAGAACATACAAGAACATACAAGATACTACAAGCACATACAAGCACGAACATTGATGTTACAATATGTTACATGATGTTACAAATTTATATTATACTATCTCTATAAAATGGGTATTTGGGCCTCTACCACCAAGAGCCTCTATAAAATGGGTGCTTTGTGGTAAAATACGAGCTGGTTCCCCATTTTATTGAGGAGGGCTTCCCAGAATCTGGGAAAGTGTAGAGGCATTGGAGATTTGTGATGATGTTTGATGTTTTTTTTGAGGGGGCTTTTGGGTCTGGGATGGCTTAGGGATGTTTGGGGAATCTTAGGAATTCTTAGAATATCTATGGAATTCTATGGATATCTTGGGTTGTGTGGTAAAGCGTCTTCCCTAACTTCCAGCTTTCTAGCTTTCCCATCCCAGGATCTCCCAGGTGCCAATGTGTTTTCCATATTTTTCCATTTTATTGAGGCAAGCCCTTGCAAAACCGTTCTGTTCCCCTTTTTGTAGAAAGGTTATCAGAGTTTTTTTTTTATTTTTTTAAAAACAATATATACAAACAATCTTCAAAATATTCAATGCGTTGGATTGTGTTGCTCGGTTTCACCCGGGACTTGGTGATTTCTCACCTTTGATCACCTCTATAAAATAGAAATTCCAAATCAACAACTCTCTTTTGTGACCGGAGTTTGGCCCCAGCACTTCACACCTGGGACCCTGATCCTCAGTTTATAGACGGTCAAAATGGACCCAGGCAGCCGCATCAGACAGTTAAGTGAGTAACCTGGGTACCCCATTTTATAGACAGCGCAGACCCCCCTAATTACCTGGGCACCCCCATTTTATTTATAAAGGGCCACCCCCCCAAAAAAACTATTTTATCACTATAAAATGGTGGTACCCAGGTTACACACTGAACTCCAAGGGGGATATCCCAACTGACTATCATATTTTTCTAAAGGGTTGAAACCACCAACCAGAATATGTTGATGAAGAACGTGATCTTTTTTCGCCACTGAATTTCACACGTTTCATGATGTTTAATGACTTACTATTGTATATTATGTGTTTGTCTGAAAGGGTAGCCCAATAAAGCTGGTTACGAATAATTCCCCAATTTTCAGGTCTAGACCCGTATTGATCCGAATTTTGATATTACAATGTGGGTAAAACAATTATAAACCATCCCCCCAGTCATCACCATTTTTATGGGTGGGATTTCAACCATTCCCAGTCATGGGTGGTTTATGTCATCGTTTTGACCACATTAACAGAATATTACAGAAATATGCCCCTTTAATTTTCCGCAAAAACCACTATAACATAAATATCACTGTTGCTTGAGAAGTCTACATCACTATATCCCGTTATATTCCCATTATAGTTCCATGATATTCCTATGAAAATCGTCAGCAAGTTCTCGAGTCGCACACCTGGAAACGCCACGAGTCGCATCGCCAGGAGCCCAAAGAGTGCTCGCCCTACTTGGCCATTCTGCAGCTCCTGCGAGCACGAGTTCCTTGGTATCGTAACGTGATGGATGCACCATCCCGATGAATTTATATGGGGTGGTTTATGACATCGCTTTACAAATATATTACTGTTGAAAACTTGAAATTGAAGAATCTCATGGTTTAGGGTAAGAACATGTTGTTTTTCTCTATTAAATAAATATGTTTTTCGCATCAGAAACTGTGGGAAGTGATGGGGATGGTCCCTGTCATCAGTGATGGGGTACAGCCCACCTTTCTGGCTGACACCCATCCAATACCACTTCCACCAGTGCTTCGTTTGGGTATGAATGTATGAAAAAAACGAAAAGGGGCAAGTAGAACCTGATTGTGATTCAAGTCATAGGGTATACTTGTATCTATTCTATTAGAATCTATACTTGTAGTATTGTATGATATTATATTATAATATGAATCTATTGTGTGTATATATATATATATATTATGTCCAGTTTGTTTCACCGTTTCACCCCAAATGGATACACACTTCAGTTGCCGAACGCAACAGCGTCTTGCACTGAAAATAAGGTCGACTAGAAATGGGGAGCCAACAAAGGCAAGGCGTTGTAAATGGAATCACAACCGATGATGAATGATATCTACAATGTGGGCCCCCCAGTTATGTTTGATGGTTGAAATAAACCTCATGAATATTATAGTTATAAGTATCATGAACCATAGTTATTGGACTTATAAACCAACTTAGCTATCGTTTGGGGGGGCCACATTGTAACCGATGTCCTCATATATTTTTTGGGCTTTGCAGTCAGTTCTTTTTATTATCACAAGATTCAGCATGCAGTTGTTTTTGTTGTCTCACGTTTAGGCTTGGAGTTGCCCAGGAACTGTCAAAAGTTTGATATGCCATGAATCTGTGAACGTCACATCTCAACTGCTACGTTCACTCAAAGTGTTGGATGAAGTCTTTGCACGCGCTTGTTTACAAATAGAGCTATCTATATCTATCTCTATATATAATCATATGTGACATGTGAATATATATTCATGTTTACAAATATAGAGCTATCTATATCTATCTCTATATATAATTGTATGTATATATATGTATATATATATATATTCATGTTTACAAATATAGAGCTATCTACACATAAATCTATAAATACATACGAAGATTAATATGATTAATTGCCTACATACTAGGTTAGATTCTTAAACTGATGTATCACCAGAAATCCTTCACCAGTTTAAGATGTTGCCCACAAGGCAAAGCTTGGGATCACAACCCACACCGAACGTTTTTTCACTGTTGTGGTGTGGTTGGCCAAACGATAGCGTTCAGTTGGTTCAAAATTCCAATAACTATGGTGTATGATACGCAAATAACTATGGTTGGTGGGTTTTGAAATGTGGATGAATTCTATGGTTTATGGTAGATATAACTATGGTTAATGGGGATTATAACTATAGTATTCATGGGGGTTATTTCAACCATCAAACATAACTGGTGGGGCCCACATTGTAGGGTACATCAAGTTGTCCAGCGGTTCATCATATTTTGATCTCGGCAAAGCCTTTCTTTTTTTTTCCGGTGTACTTTGTCCTTCGGACTGATCCACTATCCCATATGGGTTTGTCACAAAATACCCTCTGGTAAACTAACATAACTATGGAAAATCACCATTTTTAATGGGAAAATCCGCTATATATGGTCA